TTAACTGTTAACTATTAACAAAAACAAGATAAAAATAAGAAAGTTATCTAAACTTATATAAAACTTAATACAAGGTTATTATAAATGTTTCTTAGATCGTAGATTAAACAAAAGCAGAAAGAAACAAACTGATACGCCTAAACTTTTTTAAAGCCACTTTCAATGTACTCTGTATAAATTCATAACGTCATTGCCCCCTACAGCGTTGCCACTAAAATGAGGCGAACAACTATAGTCTTTGCCATTTCGTTAATCGTAAATTTGGCAACGTTTATATTCAGACAATTTTCTAACTAAAAACCGTAGTCAATCCACTGAAAGCTGTTACCAATTGCTAAATTTTAAGCAAAATCAACAGGTAGTGTTTCAATAGAAATGGCAAAGACATTACTGCAAACGTGGGGCGGCTTATACTACCTACATACAGGGTGATTTGGCCTAAATGATGAATTTAATTTGTGGTTAGCGGCAACCCGAAATACATTACTCATTTATTCCTTGATTCACACTAGAATTTCAAACATATCACAAATCCACGAAGTCTGTTTAAAAACGTCAAAATAAGGTGTTACTGTCACGCATTACATTTAAAATAAAATTTGATGGAAAAAACTCCCTGAAAAGGAGTTTCACGAATCCAGCACGGATTTTCTTGTGCATAATAATACATGGGCAATTCCACAAAAATATCAACCTCAGCACATTTTTTTGAAAATTGTTAAATTAATCTAAATCTTACAATTAGTACTTTTAAAAACTTTAAATTTTACTGGCATATATTTGCTTTTACAATACCATAACACCCGCAGTAAAAATTTCTTGTTATTGAGGAATAATAAAATTGTTCAACGAAATGATAGATATTATATCTTCCTTAACATTGCTAGCAACAAAGTAAATATCTTGATTTACTTACAATATAAAGCACGGTCGTAAAGAGTGCACCTTTATTGACAATAATGTACAATCAGTATTTACCCCAACATCAACTTTAAAAAAATATTACACTTCTTTCTTCTGATATATGTGATAATTGGTGTAAGTAACGATAAGTGACTAATTTTCATGTTATTCAGAAATATTAAAAATAATTGCAAATCAGGTTACATTGTCTCTTTTTGTCGTTCTCGCTCTCCATTTTCATTGTACTTTTATTGAAAAAATTGCCTTGTGATTATTATTAAAAATGGCATCGTTACTTACGCGAAACGGGATAATTTTCTTTCGGTGGCTTAGCTTTGAAATTAAATAATTAGTCTTAACAGCCGTCAATCTACCAATAATTTGATTTTGCTGTGTTAATCGAAATGTCTGTAACATCCACTGAAAGAATAGGAAAACACCGACAAAAATTAAAGAGACTCAGAATACCTAAAATCAACCAACCCAAAATATCAGCAGAAATATAGGGCAAACATAAGCGACACAGAGAAAAAAGACTTTGCGCTAAAAAAAGTTAAGATAGCATGAAAATAAAAAGGAGAAAAGCGAGAAAAGCCAAAATGAAAACAAACAAATGGAAATTTCAAATGATGGTAATGTCATCAAGTAAATTAATTGTAAATTCGGTAAGTTTGAATATTTTTTCTATTAGCACCTGATCCTTTTACTTTTTTAACATTACATACATTTGTTTATTTCAACTTACAGAGGTTTTCATAAAAAAATAAAATTTGCAAAATCAAATTTTATAATTCTCGAAAATGCTGGAAATGTTTGATTGTACTTCATGGGCGAGGGAAGTTCTGTCTAAACAACCTTCAACCAACTTTTTCTTTTGTTTAAAACACGAATTTGCAATTTTTCTTACTTCCGTGGCAGCTAATATTCACAAGTTCGCGTAAGAAACGATGACATCGTGTAAGTAACGCAATTTTTCCTCTTTTCAGACATAATCAAAATTAAACTTCTTCTCGGTTTTTGAATACCCGAAAATTAAATTTATTGTCATTATAACTATTTTTGTATGATAATTCACAATTCCATAGAAAATGGAGAAAATTTATCAATTCCAGAGGTGGCAGGTTCAAAGGTTTCGCGTAAGTAACGCAAAGTTTTAAGTAAATTTTGACTAAATAAAATATGCCTTTCGTAATATCAAATTATTAAGAAAAAAGAGAAAACAAATCTCTACGATTAGGTTAAAAAATGAAAGTGTAAAAGCACTTATGAGGACAGTTTAAAATAAAAAAACTTTGCAGAGTCCCGTACGATTTTAGCTTAAGTAACGGTGGAAAACATTTGCAATCCCAATCCTAACAGCACAGTGGCAATAGGGTTCACCTGACGAGCGAAAACATACAAATTCGAATGTTTCGAATGTCGTTTGGTCTCAAATATTTTTCTTTTACAGGTTTTCTTTATTACATTAGTAAACATTACCGCATCACAAAAACAATTGAATTAAGACTCCTTCAGTTACTGCCATCTCTTAAATTAATTACTTAAATTGTTTATAAATTTTGTGGCATTTATTTAGTTTGATAACAATGGAGATATATTATCTATTTATTCCTAAAAGAAGGTGGACGTATCTTAATAAAAGTTACATTAACCAAATGTTCTAACTCAAAGCTTCTAAAAACTTTGCTTTACTGCAAAAAATAAAAGCGGCAATGCCAACTTACATCGATAATACCGCGTGATCAAAAATGACTGAATCTCTTGGCAATCCTAGATTTTTAGTTGAAATTAGTATTATGTTTCCAATAATTTTCGGTTGTGAGCTGTCAAAATTGACAGATTGTTGACATTTTAACTTTGCAAGATGTACGAAAATATAACCTAAATTTGTCGTATGTCACGTATCTGTCACACCAAAGTTATTGAATATATAGTCTTTGCCATTTCTATTGAAACACCACTTGTTAATCGTAAATTTGGCAACGTTCATATTCAGACAATTTTCTAACTAAAAACCGTTGTCAATCAATCGAAAGCTGTTACCAATTGCTAAATTTTAAGCAAAATCTACAGGTGGTGTTTCAATAGAAATAGCAAGGACAATAAGTATAGGTCAAAGTTCTTTAATAGTGACTAGGTTAGTGCATACAGCGAGTTTGTAGACAGACCTGTTACAGGGGGAAGGGGAGCCACCACTCATTTGTGACGTAGAAAGTAGCTCGCTATGGTTTTTGGGATCTTGTTGTGAACTACCTTGACTGTGATTACGTCCTGGATACAAAGGTTTTGTCAACACAATGTCAGTTTCGGCAAAATCGCTCTTGTAATGTAGTGGAAAAAAGTAACTAGATTTCAAATTACTATAAAGGGACCTTAAGTATAGATAGAGTATGCCGTATAGCTTCCATATTATCAAACTGTCACGAACATCTCCCGGGTGAGAGGAGTGAATACGCGATAGGTTTATTGCACCGCTGACGAGTTTCAGTTTCATACAATTTCAAGAAAAACAAAAAATATTGGTTTTTGAACAAAATGTGTGGTTAATACACTTCTTGTCCAGTCAAATTTTTGTGGCGTTCTAAAAGCTGTCTCAAAAGTCTCATAAAATCTTGTGTGTGCGTCGTAAGTTATTCCAGGTCAAACGTCAAAAAAAAAACAGTTTTTTGCGATTATCTCGGTTTCTATTCCCCCAATGATGTTAACATTTGTCATCATAATCGTAGAGCATAAAATTTGGAACAAATTTTATTTGAAACATTTTTTGATGCGCTCAATCGATTTTGAGATAGAGGGCGGTGAGAGCGCAGCGCTCGTCCATACGTACTCTAATGCAAAATCAACCGTGAATATCTGTGAATAGCTTGAATTTTGAATAATTGGTATTACTTATCAGTTAATACATTGTATTTAATAACATTTTACATATTTTCAATATGTTCATTTAATAATACTTACCTACTTTGTGTAATTAAAAATTCTTTAGATGAAATACTTATTGTGTATCTTAATTTATTGAAAGTAGATTTTATGTAGAAAAATAATTAAGTACTTTATCTTTAAAATGTGTAAGTTTAGTAGATATATTAGATAATATATTATACTTGTTATGGTATTATATGTATATCTTAAAGTTATATTAATTTATTCAAAGTAAATTTTAAGGAAATGAAACGAGTTAATATATTTTAATTTTATCTTTATTTAGCAGCTGTACATTTTTATCTTGCATTACAGTACGTATGGATGAGCGCTGCGCTCTCACCGCCCTCTATCTCAAAAATAATTAAACGCATCAAAAAGTGTTTCAAATAAAACTTGTCCAAAATTGTATGCTCTACAATTATTATAATAGACATTAACATCATTGGAGCAAAAGAAACCGAGATAATCGCGAAAAACTCTTATTTTTGACTTTTGACCTTGAATAACTTACGACGCAGACACGAGATTTTATGAGACTTTTGAGACAACTTTTAGCACGCCAAAATGAAGGTATATACGAAAATTCAGCTCATTATCTCTCATTCCGAGGTTGATCCCCTTTTTATGCTAGTGACTGGACTATTCCCACACGTTCGCGTATCTGGTCTTTGTAAACATATACTAAAATCTAGAACAATGACAAATGTATTAAAACTAATAAGACAGCAGTAAAATCTAGTTCCGCCACTGACTCCCTCAACCGCTTATCCGTCAATTCACGAATGTGTATGAACACGATATGAACAGCAGAGAAGATATGTATACGTGCAATACAAAACAATGAGCACTGTAGTCTCTCTATACATATAAACCTCCTTGTGTTACAGAAATACTTCCGTTCTGCCAACATAAACACAAGAAAAGCTCACATTTTTGTTTAAAAAGTACTGCCAACAAACTTCTGATCACACAGTACTATAACTATAAAAAAATCTCAACGTTTTGCCTCAGCCGGCAATTTTTTTGGTTTCTGATCATTAGAGAAATCTAGAAAACAGTAATGAGGGCCTGATGTACAAAAACAATACCCTTACAATTAGCAAATTGTAAAATTATAAAATGCCAGTGACAAGTCAAATAGACAATCACCTATTATTATCATTGCAACTTACTTTTTCTTTGACGTTTTCAAATGAGGACGGACTAACAACTGAAAAACACACTAGAAATACATCAGTTTGAGGGTAGCTAAGAGGTCGCAATCTGTCATAATCTTCTTGTCCTGCTGTATCAAACAATCCTAAGGTATATGGTTCACCACCAATCATTACAGTAACAGCATAATTATCAAAAACTGTTGGTACATATTCTGATGGAAACTTGTTCGTAGTGTAGCTAAAGAGGAAAATATAAACATTTAATATATTAGAAAATTGTAACATACCTTATCAGCAGGCAGGTTTTACCTACAGCACCATCACCTACCACAACACACTTGATTGTTTGCATTGTTTTTCCTTATACCTAAAAGTAATTTAACATTAATTTATAAATTTGGTGTTAATTGGACTGGGCTAAAACGAGACGAACAAAATGTAGGTATCGTAGAAACTTTTATTAGTTGTACTTTTCATATACAACAATTTTAGTAACCAAAAACCGAACATGGATTCTTCAGAATGTAGGTTGATTTTAATAGTATAATATAATCCATGACTTGTATCACATTGCCGTGAACAAAGCAATACAAATGCTTTTTCAAGTTAAATCCCAAATTTGTTTGAAGCCAAAGCATCTGCCATTTTAGTGCTACTAGCGTCATTTTAAATCCGATGACAGTCAAGAGTTCAAGCGATATATCGTAACAGTGGATTATATTTACCTTGTCAATGTAGTTTAAAATGATAGGACATGTATATTTGTTTTCACTTTTCGCAAAAATTGTTATAAATGTTGGAATATATTAATCTCTACAGTGTAATTGCGGAACAACACACATCTCACAAGCTAGAAGGTACAAAACGACAGATGACACATCCACAGGACACCGCGATACCACTACATGTTTTCCAAAGTTACTAACGTTACTAACATCAGAACTAACATGCACCCAACATGTCACTAATGTGAACAGAAAAAATTCCACCGTTTTGTGGGTAGCTATGCCTTTTTTCGTGAGCTGTCCAGTTAAATGGTAACCGGTCCGTTACATACGTTACCAAGGAGGTTGGAATTAGTGTACCTATATGTATAATATATTAATAAGGGTAGGGTAAACAAAGGAATAGATTTTATATAATTGGTGGATAATTTTTTCCAAGGCCTATTTCAATTTTAAGCAATTTAATGCAGTGCTGTAGACTGTCAAGCTGACATTGATCAGAGACGTTCGTCAAGTTTTATTTAAAAAATGACCCGCCTGCAGTCTAAAAGGTTGTCATAAACATTCAGAACATGGAAAAATCTTTAAAAGCATTCGGCGGAGATCTTTTGCGCGATCCCAATGGAAGATTAAACTAAATGCTGTCGAACTTCCAAGACAAGGACGAGTATGTGGTGATAATTTTTCAAGGGATCAATGGATAATTTTGTGCAAGAAACTTAAAATTCACGCGGTCTTGTCGATCAGAAATTAAAATGGCCCAGCAGAAGCCACGCAATGCGACAGTCGGCTGTGTCTTTATGAAACCCGAAATAAAAAACCTGAATTAATTGATTTTTAATAAAATCGTTTTCATTATTTCTTTTAGATCTTGTCCACTTGCAACGCTACTGTTTGACATTTATTTGACGGAATTTTGGATCAAAAATTGCTGTCATGTGTCATCGTTTGCTCTACCCTTATTTATATATTATATAGGTACACTAGTTAGTAGGAATCACAGCTGGAATACTGTGGTTGGAATAGTCCAAGCCACGGTTGTAGAATAGATAGGTTGATACACTAGCATACATTTGCATATCCCTGGTCAGCGACGCCAATTGCCGATCGCGTCGCCTGGTTTTTGACGTTTTAGGGACACAGAACTCTATAGGCATCTGTCTATAACCGATGTAATTAATAAAAGAAATCGTATTTATCGACTTCGATCAAATGTCATTTACAAATTTTGTATTGTTCATAAAGCAATGTAAACCAAAATCCCTAAAATAACTAGAACGATTTCCGCTCGTCAAGGTAGAGGCGCTAGCTGTCTGTGTCCTTTCCATGGATATAGGGATCGAAAAAAAGCGTCGCCATCCCAAGCCATTAGTGTACAAACCTATCTATTCTACAACCGTGGTCCAAGCTCATACCCGACTATAACTAACGTACTCGTTAGTTATACCGGGTGTCCCACGCAGGGCCGAAACGAAAGAATATATAGATATAGGCGAACCTTGCGTTAGGCGCCCCTCCTCTACAAATAAAAATGCAATTTTACAGAACAGTTTTATTTATATTTTTTAATAAGTACGCAAAACAGATACTATGATCAAATATAATAAAAAAAGAAAAAAAAATAGAGTTTATACATATAGGTATATACCTAATATGTATAAATATTATATAAGTTCAAAATAAAATCAACATTAAAAAACCTGTCGCACCGGTTACATGTTTCTGAGTTTCCGTTCAAAATAAAAAAAGATTAATATGACATAATTCTTGGTATAGTTTTGGAAATTTCATTCTACCCTATAAAATTTTATTGACGATAACGAGACGGACAGTAGTACAGTGGTAATAAATATTTATGGCTCACACCAGTTCACTCGAATTTGTTTAGAACATTTGCCAGGTAGTTGTAATTATAAAATAATGGTCATTTCTGTTCATAAGTAACAATGGTCCCTGGGGGTCGATTCTCGAACTCGTTCGAATAAGTTCCGCATACGCAAGTGGCCAATTTCCGAACGGTTTTGAAGATTCGGTATTCTCGAAGCGCGCGCACACCTAAACCTAAAACTCTGTTTGGTTTTGGTCGTTCTGTTGTAACGTCAATATAATATCTTTAATATGCTGTATCTGTTAATATACATTAATAGAAAGGGTTACCATTCCAAAAATACACAAATTGTAATGTATCAATTTGATTGTGGGAATTTTATAATTTCATTTACAATTTTGACATTTGTGATGCAAATTTAAAAATTTGTAATTGTTGTCGTCGAATTACTAACGGAAACGGTTTTAGTACAGGTTTATTTACAATACCAACTACAAAAATGATAACACGGCCCAAGGTTGTATGTGTATGTCCACGTGGAGGTCTTGGAGAGAGGACGTCTGGACACGGTGAGTGGTCGGAGAAGAAGAGGACGTCTGTACACGGTGAGTGGTCGGAGAAGAAGAGGGTCTGTTTTACGTTTCCACCGTGGCGTTTCCTCTTTGGGCTTGCGCGTTGTAACTGCCAATCCGGTGGCTGCATTATGTATGTATAACTGGTTGCCTACTTCCAGGCGGCCACAGTAGTCCCCTCCCAGTGACTACGTTTCGTAGTCGCGGAATTTCACTGGTGGCCTGGCTGTTCTTCCTGACCTTGTAGTGGTGCTCGTCGACGCAGGTGTTGTCGGGACCTGTTGCGTTGGGGGCTGCACATGAGGCGGAGTGCAGGACTCTGCCGATATGAAAGCCGGTTTTACTCGGTCCAGGCTCACTGTGGTTTCTCTTCCATTCATGCTTATAACTATCACCTTGTCCGTACGTCGTAATACGTGGTGTGGTCCGGTGTATGGTGGTTGTAGTGGCTTCCTGACTGAGTCATCTCTGAGGAAGATGTGGGAACAGTCAGACAGCTCTGGGTGGACAAAAGTCTTGTGGTGGCCATGGTGGGTTGCTGGCCTTGGTCGGACGTTGCGCATGTGGAGCCTCAACTTGTCGACGAAATTGCTGGGGTCGACTTCTGGCTCGTCGTTTGCGAAGAAAAATTCCCCCGGGATTCGTAGTTGCGTGCCGTAAGTCAGCTCGGCTGGGGAACACTGAAGGTCGTCCTTGATTGTTGTCCTTAAACCTAACAGCACCGTAGGTAGGATGTCGTACCAGTCACTGGTCTCGTGGCACATGATGGCGGCTTTGATCGTTCTGTGCCACCTCTCGATCATCCCGTTGCACTGTGGTCGGTATGGCGTGGTTCGGCAACGTTTAGTGCCCAAAAGGTCTGTGAGGGCAGACATCAGTGTGGCCTCGAACTGCCGGCCTTGGTCAGTTGTAATACGGTGGGGGCAACCGAACCGCGCAACCCAGGTTGCGTAAAAGGTTTTCGCCACCGTCTCCGCCGTCATGTCCGTCATGGGAATTACTTCTGGCCATCGGGTGAACCTGTCTGTCATCGTGAGGCAGTACCGGTGTCCCTGTGATGGTGGTAATGGCCCAACGATGTCCATGTGTACATGTTCGAATCGGCATTCTGTAAGTTCAAAATGTTTTAGGGGTGTTCTAGTGTGCCTACTCACCTTTGACCGCTGGCAAGGGAGGCATTCGCGCGCCCATTTTTTTATGTTGCGTTCCATGTATGGCCACACGAAACTTTTATGTACCGCCTTGAATGTGGCTTTGCCGCCTGGGTGTGATTTAGAATGTACCATGTCAAATACCCTTTTTCGTAAGTGGAGGGGTATGTAGGGGCGAATTCTCCCCGTGGCTGTGTCGCACCAGATCGCCGTATCCGAGTTCATGGGTGTGAGATTCTGGAGTTTCAAACTGGTACTGGAATTCAGCAGGTTTCTCAACTCCAGGTCTTGTTCTTGGGCGGAGGCGAGTTCGTCTGGGTCGATCACTGCTGCCGTGTGAACTTCGCTGATTCGGGATAATGTGTCCGCCACCATGTTGTTTTCGCCAGGAATGTGTTCTATCTCCGTAGTGAACTGACTGATGAAGTCGAGTTGGCGTAGCTGCCTCGGGGAAGCTTTCTCTGAGTTCTGTTTGAACACGTAAATCAAAGGCTTGTGGTCCGTTCTAACCGTGAAGACTCTCGCTTCTACCATGTAGCGAAAGAATTTGATGGCTTCGTATATCGCGAGCAGTTCGCGGTCGTACGTGCTGTACCTTCGTTGGGTGTTGGTCAACTTTTTTGAGAAAAATCCCAGGGGTTGCCAGTCGCCTTTGACCTCCTGCTCCAACACAGCCCCCATGGCTGTATCCGAAGCATCGGTGGTTAATCTTAATGAGGCGTTCTCGGAAGGGTGTGCTAGCAGCGCAGCACTGGACAACTCGCTCTTGCACTGGCTGAACGCTTCTTCCGCCTCGTTGGTCCAGCTGATTGGCGTCTTGTCATTTTTTTTCGAATTTCGCAGATACACATGTAGAGGTGCTTGGATAGATGCGGCATTTTTGACGAAGCGACGATAAAAGTTGATCATGCCGAGAAACTTTCGTAAGTCCTTCACAGTTTGCGGCTTAGGAAAATCACTTATCGCCGTCACTTTCGCGGTTGCTGGACGGGTCCCGTGAGTCGAAATGCTATGTCCTAGGTACTCCACTTCACTTGCCCCGAACACGCACTTTGCTGCATTAACCACGATTTGGTGTTGCTTCAGTCTTTCAAACAGCGTTTTTAAATGTCGCACGTGCTCCTCTGGGTTCGCGGAAAAAACTAAAATATCGTCTATATATGCGAAACAAAAATCTAAATCGTTGAGCACATTATTGAGGTGTCTTTGAAAAGTTTGCGCGGCATTGCGTAGGCCAAAAGTCATCACTGTGAACTCAAATAAACCGAATGGCGTACACACTGCAGTTTTTGGGATGTCCTCGTCGGCCACTCGAATTTGGTGGTAAGCACGTACCAAATCTATCGTGGAGAACACCGTTTTTCCCTCTAGTCTGGCCGAGAAGTCCTGGATGTGTGGTATGGGGTATCTGTCTGGGATTGTTACCCCGTTCAGCCTCCGATAATCCCCACAAGGACGCCATTCCCCAGGATTCTTCTTCTGCACTAGGTGCAGTGGGCTGGCCCATGGACTGCTGGAGGGGCGACACCACCCTTGCTCCAACATGTACTGGATCTCAGCTTTGGCAGCCTTGAGTTTCTCCGGTGGTAGTCTGCGTGGTGTTTCAGCTACAGGAGGGCCTGTTGTGTATATGTGATGCACTACGGAGCTGGATATTTGACTTCCCGGACGTGGTGCTTTCGTCAATTCCGGGTATTCCGCCAGCAGGTTGTGGTAGCTGGAGGTTTTTGCCACCGTCGTAATACGTGGTACGGAGCAGGCCAATACGAAACCAGGGGAAGAGAGATGTGTCAAGGGGTCTACCAGCTTCCGGTTTCTCAGGTCCGGTAGGAGGTGGTAGTACTCGAGAAAATCGGCCCCTATTATTGGTTTCTCGACGTCCGCGAGGATGAAAACCCATTTAAAAGTTCTGCGTAGCTTCAAGTCAACTACCATGAATTTCTGGCCGAACGTGGGGATGGGTGTGTTGTTCGCTGCAAATAGGGCGGGTGTATCTTGTGTCTGTGACTGAGCCTTACCTGAAAACGTTTTCGGCAGGACTGAGACCTCTGCTCCGGTATCAACTAGGTACCTGATACCGGATTTGGGATCCGTGACGAAGAGACGATGATGACGCGCGTCGTCGTGTACCGCCTCGATACCCGACGGCGCCTCTAGTTTTCCGGCTGTACAAACGTGCAAGGTTTGAAACACTTTCGGGCGTTTACACCGAACTTGGCGTGGTAATAACAAACGCCATTTTGATCCGTGCGTTGCCTGCTGTGTGTCCTTGACCGATTTCGACGGTCATTTTGCCGTGCTTGTGGACTGCGCCCTCTCGTGTTGGTTAGATGAGTTACGGCTACCGATAAGGCCGCCATCTGTTTCTGGAGGTCTGCAATTACCGTAATGAGGTTAGTTTCCTGCGTTGGTACGATGGTGTTCTGCCGCGTCGTGTCGCTGGTGGCGCCTATCGCGTTGATACTGGAAGCCATAGCGTTGCTTCTGTGTATTTCCGCCAATTTGTCCGCGATTTCTGCCATCTTTTCCAGCGATACTCCCTCGCTCGCAGACAGCACGAGTTGGACATGTGGTGGAAGTCGCTGTAGCCAGAGCGTTTTTACGACTTCGCTATTCATCTGCTGCCCCGCGAGTGCCTTCATTTCGCGGAATAACTGGGATGGTTGTCGGTCCCCTAGCTCCATCTCGTTTATCAGCTTTCGTAGCTGCTTCTCCTGTGAGTCGGTGTAGGCGGCTATCAGTTTCTTCTTAATTGTGTCGTACCTCTCTTTGTCTGGTGGGTTCGCTACGTCTGTGACCGGCTGGAGTGTGCTCTAGCTTCCGGATGGCTTCTTGCTGTTTTTCGAGTTGCTGTTGCAGTTCTTCGGCAGTCGGCATGTTCGTACCCGTAGTTCTTCGATCACGTCGGGGTCACCAATTGTAATTGTTGTCGTCGAATTACTAACGGAAACGGTTTTAGTACAGGTTTATTTACAATACCAACTACAAAAATGATAACACGGCCCAAGGTTGTATGTGTATGTCCACGTGGAGGTCTTGGAGAGAGGACGTCTGGACACGGTGAGTGGTCGGAGAAGAAGAGGACGTCTGTACACGGTGAGTGGTCGGAGAAGAAGAGGGTCTGTTTTACGTTTCCACCGTGGCGTTTCCTCTTTGGGCTTGCGCGTTGTAACTGCCAATCCGGTGGCTGCATTATGTATGTATAACTGGTTGCCTACTTCCAGGCGGCCACAAATTTTAAATTGAAACAGCCGATTTCTGTGTAGTACATATATATATAATAGCTACATATGTATGAAGAAACAACGCACTATTGCGATATTCTGGGTAATTTCTAATAATACATTAACACGTTCTTATTATGGTTGTAACAATAATTTTTAGGTGACTCTGGCTAGCCATTGCGTAACATTTTCGGGCACAATAACTCAGGTATTTTTGAACGGATTGTTATGAAATTTGAAAAGTGGGTATTTTGATAGGTGAGGATTAATATGAACCGGTGAGAATAATCATTATCTTGAAAAAGTAAATTTTCCATGCCTTAATTTAATTTTGAATTAATTAAGTTTTGCATCACTTGATTAAATATGAAAAATAAATACTGTATGCAAAAATTCATCACCGAAATCCGTTTGGTTAGACAAAAAATTGGCCTAAAGAGTTTAGGCAGTACTTCCCTCGCTGTCGGAAACTTGACGACTGCATGCCTATTGTGTTTTTTTTCTCATTACATTTTTGTAGTGGGAATTAAAAAAAAATTGCGATGACGTCATCAACATTTTTGCAAGGACACGTATATCAGTTGGGATAGATGTAGTGTAATACTAAGAATAAAATTATTGTATTCCCAAATTTTCGGGAAAATGAATTGGGTCGTTTTGAATATTGATTTGTTATAATCAATAAAATAACGAAACAATTTACTCACGTATACGGCGCCGGCGTGTAATATGAGAGGGAACTGAAAATCGTGTATGTATAAGCATTCTTAATTTAAGATGACAAGCGTAACAGCATACGTGAAAGTCAAACAGAGAAACTGTAAACAAAACGACCATCGGTTTTATTGCTTCGACTTCCGCTTATTATATAAAAATTGGGTTTTATTTTAATTTTTGACGGTGGAATTCACAATTGGTTGATCATAAACATGTCTATACCACATTCGCGGAACCTAGTCAGCGCACAAAACAAATGCACGTCTGTAATGTTTCAACCGAGTTTTTATTTTAAAAAATTTTGTGTCTACCAAATTGGGTTGGTCCAATGTAATACTAATAATAAGTGTTGCCTTTAATTTAATCAATAAAATAAATTGACTTCATTAATTTTTTTGAGCCACCTATTAAGAAAATCTAAAAAATATGAATGGAATGATAAATCACAAGTACAAACTCATCATCTTTTTTGCATTATAGATAGGATTTATTTAGCAAAATTTAAGGGTGACGTCACCAATTTTTTTAGGAAGGATGAACAAATACATTTTGAACAAAAGTTTACCATGCTTATAATAACTTTAAAATATCTCCAATATTTCAAAGCATTCGGTTTTGTAATTCCTGATTAAATCGATAAAATAAATTCACGCATTCATTAATTTTTTTGAGTCAGCCTGTATATGCAAATCCAGAAATATGAATGGAATGATAAATCACAAGTACAGACTCATCATATTTTGTACGTTTTAGATAGGATTTATTCAGCAAAATTTTCGGGTGACGTCATCAATTTTTTAGGGGGGAAGAGCAAATACATTTTGATAAAAAATTTACCATGCTTATAATAACTTTAAAACATCTCCAAAGTTTCAAAGCATTCCGTTCTGTAAATCCTGATTAAACCAATAAAATAAATTCATGCATTCATTAATTTTTTTGAGTTACCCTGTATATGCAAATCCAAAAAATTGGTCTAAAGAGTTTAGACAGTACTTCTCTCGCTGTCGGAAACTTGACGACTGCATGCCTATTGTGTTTTTTTTTCTCATTACATTTTTGTAGTGGGAATTTAAAAAAAAAATTGTGATGACGTCATCAACATTTTTGCAAGGACACGTATATCAGTTGGGATAGATGTAGTGTAATACTAAGAATAAAATTATTGTATTCCCAAATTTTCGGGAAAATGAATTGGGTCGTTTTGAATATTGATTTCTTATAATCAATAAAATAACGAAACAATTTACTCACGTATACGGCGCCGGTGTGTAATATCTAGAGAGCGGATTTCTGTCGGGCTAGGCAAGGCCAAACTCGGTACGGCTCGTACGGGATGCGAATTCATTGCGGTTGCGAACTGCACTTCGTTTATTTGAGATTAGAATAACGCTGTTTCGTTGCACTCTGCTGTTAATTCCCGTTCTCATTTACTTAGCCGTTTGATTAATAAATCGTTAATTATATTTATGGAATTAGTACCGATTAAATTCAGTGATTATCTATCACCCGGCGATCCAGCACGTCCCCCCTATAATCGTGACGTAGCCCGACAGAAATCCGCTGTCTAGTAATATGAGGGGCAACTGAAAATCGTTTATGTATAAACATTCTTAATTTAAGATGACAAGCGTAACAGCATACGTGAGGGTCAAACAGAGAAACTGTAAACAAAACGACCATCGGTTTTATTGCTTCGACTTCCGCTTATTATATAAAACATTGGGTTTTATTTTAATTCTTGACGGTGAAATTCACAATTGGTTGATTATAAACATGTCTATTCCACATTCGCGGAACCAAGTGAGCGCATAAAACAAATGCAGGTCTGTAATGTTAAAGTCGATGTAAATAAGCGTGCTACCCTTATGTTTCAACCGAGTTTTTCATTTAACAAATTTTGTGTCTACCAAATTGGGTTGGTTGGGGTGTAATACTAATAATAAGTGTTGCCTTTAATTTAATCAATAAAATAAATTGACTTCATTAATTTTTTTGAACCACCTCTTAAGAAAATCTAAAAAATATGAATGGAATGATAAATCACAAGTACAAACTCATCATATTTTTTGCATTTTAGATAGGATGTATTCAGCAAAATTTAAGGGTGACGTCATCAATTTTTTTAGGAGGGATGAACAAATACATTTTGAACAAAAGTTTACCATGCTTATAATAACTTTAAAATATTCCCAAGATTTCAAAGCATTCGGTTTTGTAATTCCTGATTAAATCGATAAAATAAATTCACGCATTCATTAATTTTTTTGAGTCACCCTGCATATGCAAATCCAAAAATGTGAATGGAATGATAAATCACAAGTACAGACTCATCATATTTTGTACATTTTAGATACTATTTATTCGGCAAACTTTTGAGCTGACGTCATCAGTTTTTTGTAGAAGATAACCAAATATATTTTGACTAAAAATTTATTATGTTCTTTATAACCTTAAAACATCTGCAAGATTTCAAAGCATTCGGTTTTGTAGTTCCTGATTAAATCAATAAAATAAATTTACGCATTCATTAATTTTTTTGAGTCACCCTGTATATGCAAATCGAAAAAATTTGAATGGAATGATAAATCACAAGAAGATACTCACCATATTTTGTACATTTTAGATAGGATTTATTCAGCAAAATTTTGTGGTGACGTCATACATTTTTTAGGGAGGACGACCAAATACATTTTGATCAAAAATTTACCATGCTTATGATAATTTTAAAATATCTTCAAGATTTCGAAGCATTCGGCTTTGTAGTTCCTGAGTAAATCAGTAAAATAAATTTACGCTTTCATTTATTTTTTTGAATCATTCTGTATATGCAAATCCAAAAAATATGAATGGAGTGATAGATCACAAGTACAGACTGATCATATTTTGTACATTTTAGATATGATTCGGCAAATTTTCGAGCTGACGTCATCAAGTTTTTGGAGGGGATAAGCAAATATATTTTGACTAAACATTTATTATGCTCTTTATAACCTTAAAACATCTGCAAGATGTCAGAGCATTCCGTTTTGTAGTTCCTGATTAAATCAATAAGATATATTTACGCATTCATTAATTTTTTTGAGTCACCCTGTATATGCAAATCCAAAAAATATGAATGGAGTGATAAATTACAAGTACAGACTCATCATATTTTTACAGTTTAGATAGGATTTATTCGGCAAACTTTCGAGCTGACGTCATCAATTTTTTGGAGGGGATAAGCAAATATATTTTGACTAAACATTTATTATGCTCTTTATAACCTTAAAACATCTGCAAGATTTCAAAGCATTCGGTTTTGTAGTTTCTGAGTAAATCAGTAAAATAAATTTTCGCATTCATTAATTTTTTTGAGTCACCCTGTATATGCAAATCCAAAAAATATGAATGGAATGATAGATCACAAGTACAGACTCATCATATTTTGTACATTTTAGATATGATTTATTCCACAAACTTTTGAGCTGACGTCATCAAGTTTTTAGAGGGGATAAGCAAATATTTTTTGACTAAAGATTTATGATGCTCTTTATAGCCTTAAAACATCTGCAACATTTCAAAATATTCGGATTAGCAGATTCAAAATTAAATTTCAAAATGTTGTTTTATAATTTTGATTTTTTTTTCCAAAAATCTAGACGTTTCGAGTAAAAACTCGATTCGGAGTCGTAAACTACATGTGTAGGACTATGTTATTTTATACAATTTAAAACCCATTTACTATGTACAATTTTGAAGTGACGTCATCGTATTAGTGGTGGGGATGATTAGACAAATTTTGGTTAGCGTTTTACCATCTATATGATATTCCTAATATAAGTACAAAATTTCACAACAATCGGTCCAGTACTTTCGGAGATTATCTGTCTAATAAAAATCCGGTACGGCAGACAGACGGACAGACGGACAGACAGACGGAAATGGGAGACCTATTTCTTCGTCTTCTAGGGGTCATGAAAGATCGAGAAAACGTAAAAGTAGAGAGTCGGCTGACGGACTCGATTACAATACTTCCTTTGCTTACGCTCTGGAAGTAAAAATTGGACCGAATCTCAACCTCCGTTATAACGTCATATGTCACTGATAAATTGACATTTGATAGCTTTCGAAATTGTGAGAAGAGCGTTTCAAGCACAGTTTTCAAGGTAATGTGACGTCATGTGGCTGGTGCGCAAAACGGACGAAAATTCATCCACCGAAGTGGCATACCATGCGGGAGTAGAAGAAAAACATTAAAGTGGCAAGTGGCCCGATGGATTCGATGACTTGATGACCATATAGTAATGTGAGTGTAAAAAAAACACATGTTTTATTGGTTTTAAAACACGTTTTTTTTTTGTTTTTAAATAAAGGATAGGTTTTTTACGCAACTTCAAAAAAAATTGATATAAATAGGTAGCTCTCGTTGACAGGTTGGTTGGTGTGTCTGTTCTTGGGTTGTAGAAAAATTAGAACTGCCTACATTGTCATATAAGTCGATAAAGAAAAAGAATAAAGTAATGACTTGTAAAGAGTAAAATAGTAATTTACACAACTAGTTCGGGATAGCCTGCTTCCCGCATGAACGCTTGTTTGCGGCACGACCGAAGGGAGTGACGCATTTGCGTGAATGCGGGAAGCAGGCTCACGAACGTGTTGTGTACAATATTTTTTGCAACGAATTAAACGTTTAAACTGAAGAGCTTAACTGTGAGTTATTTATAAACAACGGCATTGACAGCGCCGTCAACACATCACAATGTTGACACTACCCGAGTATTTTAAGGTTACCATGGCAACGGGAAGTTAAATGCACGTGTGCACTGTGCGGGAAGTTCGACCTCCTGCACTCTGGTGAATGCGCGAAAGCTATCAAAAAAGGTCATGAGTGCAAAAAAAGTTAAAGACTGTCAAGTTCAAGTGTGTTGCGATAACTCGAAGGACCGATTGTAATAAATACAATAAAAACATGGTGGCGCTTGAATATGTATATTTGTACGATGTTGACAGTTTCCAGTCCAAATTCTTTACTACTATAACTACTATAATTATAAAGACTCGGCTCCACAAAAAGGTGCCGCACCCTCACATTACGTGATTAAAATTTTCGCTGTAGTCGGGTGAGAGAGCCGCCGAGCTCGAACAAAGTGCCTTTCCTTTTTTTTTCTTTATTTTATTCCCGTAAGGTTTTATGAATTCTTGTTTTTTTATAATAACATTTAACTAATAAATACATTATCGTCTATTTGTAATACATAATATGTATATATTATGATATTATACATACACATATGATGATATGATTTCCCTCCCAACTTTTAAACTTAGGTTATGAATCATGTCACAGGTTGGTTTTATAGGGCGTTAACAGATGGCGCCATTATAAAATTAAAATAAAAATATTTTTGCTTTTTCCAATGACAGCTTTAACTCTTATTAAAATTGGTATAACTTTCAAAACAAGGGTTTGAGTTTATATGGATGGGTCAATTAAAAGTTTGTAAACTTATAAAGAACAAAAAAAAAACTTAAAAAAAAACAAAAAAAAGTCTTTTAAAACATTAAAACAAACAGATTAAATAAAAAACGTTTTTTACATCTCTATGACCATACTTCTTTAGCTTACACTAGGAAGTATGGTCAATGTAATGCGCAGTTTATTCTTTTGGGTTTGTGATATTAACTTTTGTGACCTTCACCACCTTAGAAAATGGAAATGGGAATATTACGGAATATGTATATTTAACGGATTAATATGTAGCTGACGTCAGAAGTAATATTTTTGTCACACGCACGTGTTAAATATGTAGGTTATTTTTTCATTCGCGAAAAAATGCCTTTAGGATATACTATGCAACCAATAATTTTCGTGAGTTTATAAGACATAACATGGCCGCTTTGGAGTGGAATAATTAGTGTAGCGTGGTGGGATCGAATAGTGGTGTCAGAGGTTGTTGCTTGGTGGTAGCGTGTGCAATAATAATAATAGTAATAATAATAACAGTGTTTTACATTCTTGATAAAGTCCTTTGGCATTTCGATCATTCGGGTCATTTGGGATTCGTGTTATAAGTGGTTTTTGTATCTTTTTGGTTGGCAGTAACCAGTAAACGAGTGTCGGAGAATTGTGCCCTTGTGCTCTGAGCATTTGGTTTGATAATTTTATGTTTGATAAAACCACGATAATGAAACCGCATGATGGAATGCTTTTAATTATTGTGAAGTGTTAAAGTTACGATGATGAATACAAATATATAAATCCCCATGTATGCATAGAAAAAGTGATGTATGTATGTTTTTCACCAGCGTTTACAAACGACGAAATGTATTTAATCAACATGAAAAGTTTGTACTGTTGCATTTCTAACGAAATTACTGTTGATATTTTATTTTGTTAACAAACAGTGGAATTTTCCTATCAAATTAGTGAAATTTGTAACTTGTGAAATTTATTTCTATAATTTGGGAAATGTAAGGCAATTTAAATGACACTCTTCGATTTAAAAATAATCAATAGTAATGAAAATCAGCATTAGATCCTTATTATTTACAAAACAGTTACAATTCAATGATCACATATATGTTTACTATACATATAAATGGTTGTGTATAGATTTAACGTCGGTATTTATTTTTTGTTGTAGCGCTTGTTCACTTATGTGTGATGATTTGAGTAACTAGGCTGTAAATACTTCGGTATGTTCACAGTGATTAAAACATTTTGAGTGCTTAGGTTAGGAACTAGTAACCTCTAGCTATGTAATTATAAATTGAGGTATGTCAATATCAAATAATTTTTAGATCTACCTGCCGCTGTAACATGTCAAACAGTGTTGTTAAGGTAACGGATGCCACAGAAGATGACAGTTTGTTGCTTCTTGTTGGAGAGGATGGAACAGTAACTCCAAGTAAGGATATTGTGGAAGCATACCTGAGTAAGTTATTATTAACTAAAATAATAGTGTTATGTATAATTATTACATAAACTTTTTAGATTCAAAATCTGGCGCCACTAATCTCCATATAATGCATATTAATAAATCTGACGATCAAAGTATTGAAGTAGCTGTAAATGACATGTTGTATTTACCAGACACTGAAACTGATGAAAGTATGTGTTTTATTAAATTGTGTAACATACTCACACATGTATATATAAACATTAAATCCTGAGACCCATGATATTTCATATAGAGTGGAGTAAAAAAAGATTTAAGGGAATTAAGTACATAGATAGTATGGTGTAGCCTGTATCAAATTAACCTGCTTCTTTGCCTGACGAGTAAGAATTTAAATGTAAATAACATTTGAAGCAAGATAAAAGTTATGGTTTTCATAAAGTTCCAACATTATGAACCAATAAAAGCGTTTGATTGTCACTGTGTTGGCAGATTATCAAGTTCACCACATTTAGTTGTAATTACTAAATAGAGGTGATATCGGTTATAACCTGTAAGATATTCTATTTATATATTGAGGGTATCGAACAAAAACTCAATAATTGATGAAAATTCATAACAGAGTCAAATTGATTGTGTTAGATTAAATGATTGTACTGAATACAAAAGTAGTTTTTGGAATTTTCGTCAGTTATAGTGTTTTCGTACTGTGTATCGAGATGTATATATACACTGACCAGCAAGAGAAAACCGGCCACCTGTAATATTTCACAAAATTACTTTAAAAATTATTTATTTAACTGATGAGTAAATTATCACAGTTGCGTAGGGTAAAATTACATTTTTTTTACAGTGTACAGGATGTACAGATTAGCTAAAAAAGAGAAAAAGAAATACATTAAGTTCAATATTTCAGGGTGGCCACTTTTCTGTGCCGGTAAGTTTATATATGCAGAAGTAGTTTTAACAGAACACTACTGTTTTGTGTTACTTTCACTGATTACATTTATTCATATGTATTAACATTTTTATAATTAACAAGATTAAAAAAGGCAAGTTTGCTTATACATGCTTGGATTTTGCATATTAAAAATTTTTCGCTAAAACTTACTTAAGTTAAATGACTTCTGGCAATAATATTAATTATTATAATGCCAAGGATTATGCCCCGGGATTTTGGCTATTATTAAGAATCACCTGCTTTGAGGTAAATTTACTGATCCTAGTGGTTTTTTGTAAAAAAATCAAATATTGACAATATGTGCAACAGAATAGTCACTTTTTTTTGTTGGACTGTTTATGTCACAAAAGTTAGCCGACTGAAAAGTGAAAAAGTAAAAACTGCAAAATACATTGTTTCAAGTGAACAGATATCCGTTACAAGAAGATGTCCATTATAAAATTCTTCAGTACTAATCTGCATCCGGAAATTGTAGCAGACAGTTTTGCTACTCCCTAATAAATAGAGTACAAGTTGGTATGTATGCTGTGGAAAACCGTAATCAATGCTTTGTGGTGGATGTAACTCTCTTAAATATACCTACTCTACAACAGATAAATTATACAAATGGAATTTTCGGTTGATGTGCAGGTACTCAAAAATTCGATAACATCAGATATGTATTTGTAAACTGACTTTTCTTAGTTTTTCCAGATCATGTGCGTTTTATGTACCTAATTTATTTTTATTGAGATGGTACAAGCTTTCAAGTTATCTGAAGTGAAAAACGGCGCAATTTACGTGTTTTCATAAGAGAAAAACGTGTTGTTACTGCTAATTACTTGAATTTGTATTTTTTATAAGCACTTTTTCTAAATAGGATTCCTGGTGTTAAAACATGTAGCAAAAGCAAAATTATTCCGCTGTGACTGCCAAATGTAGCAGAGATTATAAAAGGGTTTATGGCATCGAAATTTCCGAAAATTTTGAAAAATTTAATATTTTAAAAGCAAGCGTTCACATTTATTATTTGATACAATTTGCAATAGACACTTCTTTATCCTGGTATTTACAAGCGACATTGTGTAATTTCTTGTTATAGCAATTTATATCTATTTTTAATCAAAATTTTATATACAACAGTTGATTCATTATGTCTCATTACTGAGGGAAAAGATGAAACAATTTCTACTAATGTAAGACCTATTTTCAGGAAGTCCACAGCTGTATAATATCAGTGATTTTTAACGATTGTGTTTTTATTCGTCCTGTTCAAAAGGTTTGAAATGTTAGTGACGTGTGTGTATTTAATCTGAAAGTTAATTTAATGGTGGAAAAATGCTGAGCGGTTTATTGCAAATAAATCTGTTTTTATACATTCTAGTGATATTTATTTAGATGGTTCAAAATATTTTTTTGTTGTATTGATCTGTATCTTGTACAGTAAATTTAGTTTGGGCACTTGAAGTATCGTAGGTATAAGTATATTTTTACATATTAGCGTATTATTTCTACAGAAGAAGGGAAATGATATGGATAACATGGTCTTTTAGTAAGATATTTACATTTTAATTTACGAAAATGGTCATAGGTATTTAAAAGTTTACTGTTCCACCTCTTTTAACAATAAATGTACATAATTTTGCATACACCTTTTTATTTGCTATCACTGCAACATGCAGGACGATTTGATTTGTAACTTTTGATTTTATTGCCTATTTTTGTAGATGAAACACTTTTAATTTTTATTTTTTATTGTTTTTGTTCCCCTGATGACCGAGAAAAGAAATTAATACAAATTTTTTCCAGAAAAGTAAAATTGATGTCAAAACACAACATTTTGCAGAACAGATTTTGTAAATAACTCATGAAATCCTTTGTAAATGTCATATAGTAATGTTTAATAATAGTGGTTTTAAAACCAAAATGATAATAAAGTTTATGCAGTATTATGTTTCAACATCTTTAAATATGACCTTGCACTCAGTAGAAACGCAAATATTTTTTTTTTATATTTTAAGAATTATTAACCATAAGGTTTTAGTACTCTATATTATGTTCTTTTTACCACATACATATCAGTATTGTTACACAAAATCTAAATTTGTAAAAGTAGATGGTATATTCTTAAAAAAATATAGAAATTAAAAAGTTTTAATGTATTAAACGGAGGTCAGGAACTTTGAAAATTATTTTTAGATTATATGAGGTCTGTGAAAATCTGTCAATATTTTTTTATTAAGTCACGTAAAGTAAATATATTGTACAATCGATCGCACATTGATCTAAGACAACTGCAGTGAACAAAATTGTTGCTTAGTTTAAGCGGTGTAAAATAGGCTTTTGTTTCTATAGAGTTGCCGGCTTTTCTTCTAAATGTCCTTCTTGCTCTCTTCGCTTTTGTGTGGTCCAACCTTCTTCAAATTTTGTTACAATTCGAGCCTTCGTGGTTTCTGATAATTGGGGAGGCATAGTAATAACCACAGAAAAAAAATTGAAATGTCTTGTATAGCATTGACATAGACTCATTCAGTGATTAACACATTAACGATGAAGATTCAGACAACTGTGATTTTAATAAATATCTCTATTTATGGTAGGGAATTCTAGTTGTCCCAGATTAATGTGCAGTCAACTGTATTAACATACCATTGATACACCTGAATATATTTGCAGTACAGATATTTAAAACTTCTCCAAAGTGTATAATAATAAAAGTTTACTTACGAGTATAACAAAGTAATGTAAGAAACGACCGAAGAAGTTCCGATTATTGTAATACTTCAAATGTGTAATTATTAATTAATTAAGCTTGATTTGATTACGAACCACATTGTTTGTAACTATTGTATTAGTTTATTTTATATTTAATAGGAAGTAACAGCAAGTTTGGGTCACAATACGAAACATGAATTATCTAATCAAAAAAAAAAAAACTGGCTCTTGTACAGGTACGAATATCCACAAATACAGTAAAATTACAAATGTTATTAGGTAACTTACGGAAAAAATGTATGATGAATAATGATTATTCTGCAGTTCGGTACAAGAAGAAATAAGAATTGTGAAATAGTAGTTGTTTCACAAGTTTGAGAGGCATGATTAACAACAAACATAAACTATTACATTTATAATAATTTGGTTTTTGTTCGTTTCAGTATATAAACATTTTTAATACTGTTTATAAATATAACTACGCATATTTAAATATATTAAGCGCACAGGTTTTTCTAAATTAACTTGAGTTTTTCGTATTATGTAGTTGGCAAAATCTCAAAAGTATAAAATAAAAATTAAAAATTTACCATTTCTATTGTGTCTTGCTACATATACAAAATGTCTCAGTTTTTATGGACTGCGATCAGCAAAAAGTAAATAGTTTTTTTTCTGATGTGAACTACTTTATGTCTCTTAGCATTTTCAAAATTACGATTTAACAAGAGACCTATCATGATAGCAACATAAAAACTTATTGTTTTTAAAAAATGTGTATATTTTTTGTAAACATTTTTGAGAAATAACTAAAAATTGAATTTTCCGTTTCGGAAAAAATGGTCATCTAAGAAGACTTACTTCCTTTATCCTTTGACTAAACTCAGTACCTGTTTTGAAACTTTGAGATCGTTATATACCCTTTCGCAATTAGTATACCGTATTTTTGTTTTTGTAACCGTGAAAGTGGCTAATCGCATTGAATTTGAATAATACCCTAGATCGAAAATGTTTATATGTTGTTCATGGGATCATCTGTTTTAATTCTGGTGCCAAAGGATGGAGGTTTCAATGCCCTTTTTTTTCTAAAATCGACATTACAGTTGCACTTTATACAGTGAAGTATCAGTATATTTACTCTAACGTACCATAATAGTCATTTTTTCATATATATATAGGTATATATGTAAATTCTGCCGATTTTCGAAAAAAACATCAATTCACGGAACATTTTTATCACTCACATGGTTATTTGTTTAAATAAACAGAATATTCTCAATGAAACACTGAACTGTGCTTTGACACAGAACTAAATGTCATGAAAAATATAACAAAATTGTAGTACAAATAATATAAAATAAATGTGGTCAGTGATCACTGACTTTTAGTTGCTGCACAAAAAGATAATCTTAAATTCCGTTTGCTGCATCAAAATCATATTTTGATTCTTCGTCTTAGCGCCAAAGCAGAATGCTATTTTTAAACCAAGATTTTTATCATGTGTTTGTATATGTTTAAAAAATCAAATAACTAACAGTAAAAATAGTAAACATTTGCCAAAAAATGTTTTTATATACATAATTGTTTTACCCTACGAAATTAACACCATAACAAATTACTTTTAGGTGCTGAGCAACCAAATTTCGATGAAATTGCATACAATTTGTATAACATAAAATTGGACCATGATTATGTATGCCAGTCTGAACCTACAGAGGAGGTGGATGAACTAGCAAAAACACTTAGCATACTAGATGGAGATGTAGAAAGTCCAGGACGTCACATTTCAACATTTTGTGAAAATGAAAGTCGTGAAAAAAACATTACAGGAAAAGCAGATATATTAGAAGAAAATAGTTCTATATCAAGTGTTAAAATTACCAGCACGCCAGTAAAACCTAATTTTAAAACTCATCACAAAAGATTGAAGTCAAAGGAAATACCAGACAAAGATGATAATAGCAGCAAAATTGACGATGATTTGGAAAATAATAGTTACATGGAAGACGACGGAGAAGAAAATAAAACAAAGAGTGCTAAGAAGAATTTTAAACTCGAATTAAAAAATAAAGGTGTTAAACAAATAATAGATTTGCCTAAAGAGAAATCACCATCAGCTACACATGATTCAAAATTGGCAGAAAAGAAACCCGTAAAAAAAGAACGGAAATTATCAAAAACTGTTCCTGATGATTTTGCTTTATTTTCGACACCTGATATCATAAGAAGGGTAGGCGGGAAAGACTCTACATCTCCAGGTTGTCCTGCAACTGCACCTGTGGTCGATTCATGCACTTTTGAGAATAAACCTGCAAAAATTGAAATAAGGTCTAAATCAGTTTCAGAGTCTACATCTTTTCCAAAAAAACAAGATAGATTAAGTTTAGATGGAAAACTGGTGGACAAACAATTTGCTAAAGTAGAGATTAAAAATAAGGACAAGAAGATTCATGGCGATTTGAAAATAAAACGTGAACATTTTCCAAAAAAAAGTGCAGAGCCATCAAAATCATATGCAGAAATTAGTAGTAGTACAGAAAACGTATTGGAAGATACAAGTATTACACCAGGAAGTGATGAAAAATACGCAAGTAACTTACCTGTTGACAGTTCTGATTTAGGCAACACTGAATCTGGTATAACTTTGGATGGGAATAGTCTAGATTTAGATCCAGCTTTATTAGAAAACATCAATAATGACTTGATATCAGAAGATATTCTCTATCAAGTTGCCCAGTCGCTTGTATCCAATACCGAATTGCAAAATGCCATAGACAAAAGTCTAAATGAAGAAAGTTTAGTTCTTCAGTCACCAGGACAAGACATTTTGGACACCAAAGACGCCACTACTGAACGAAATGTAACAGAACAGGTGAATTTTATTTATTACGTATATTATACATACTTTGTAGATTTCTTATAGTAGTCTTAGGGCCGCTTTATACAAAGCGAGTTAAATATTTATTAAATCGTCGATTAATTTAACACAGGATTAACATGTAGAATAAGAGCCCGTGATTGGTTAAAACATGCACGTTGCCTAACAACGGACCTCGATTAAAAGTTAATCGCGAATTCACTTTAATTCGCTTTCCATAAATCGGCCCTTAATACTGTTATAATTTTGTAAGTTTTGCAAAGAATACACCCAGTAATATGCAAATGTAGTTGCAAAGACAGATACTGTCTCTTTGTGGTAATGGTGTTTAGAATATACATATATAGTTAAAAAATATATTAATATAATCGAAGAATGACTTCTTTTCTGAAAACAGATCAGTTTTGTCATACTACGTACTTTTACTTGCTCCATATATCAGTACATTATTAAAGAACTATCAAAATAAGAAAAATAATGAATAAACAAAAAAATGCAGTAACTTTCGGCCACTTGTGGAGTCTACGAATTTTAACTAAACGTCAATATTCAGATGTATAAAAATATTATTGATTTCCATTTAATCATTCTGAAAAAAAGTGATTTTAAAAATGAGTAAAAAGCGCAAATGAAACAAAAGACAGGTGAATCACAAGAAACGAAAATCAAGACTGAAACCGACGACGAGGAGCGTACGTCATTGACCAAAACAAGCCTTTAAATTTAAAAGTAGACTCACCTGAAGACAAATATGTCTTCTGCGCAAGTATATTGGCAGTTCTTCTAAGATTGTGCGGACTTTACCATATTGTTTTCTTACATCGATTGACTGATCCATTTATCATTTTATACTTATTAACTGGCCTCGAAAATCTTCAAATTCTGATTTAGAAATACTGCAAATCATTTTGGTATATAGTTTTATCAATGCTATTTTGAACTGAGTATTAAAATATTTTTGTTTCACCAAGCGAATTCCATAAATTTATTTCAAGACTAATTTGGTCTTTTTAACATTACATACTTAAAATTTTTTGGTTTTTTTTTTTCATAACGAATTTTTCCAATTAACAACAGATTGTAAGCTCAGGAACCCGTCTCGAATATTTTTTTGTGTATATTCTTATATATTTTTTTGTGTATATTCTTATATATTTTATTTTTAACAAGATAGGATAAAAGGCACCAAACAAGTTGAAACCGAGGTCAAATCGGACAAATGATCGCTTGCCCTTACTACTTTCTATATTACGCATAAATTTTGAGTAAACAAACATCTTGCGAATCTTGTTAAGATCTGGTTCACTGCACGTGCACAGTTTGTTCTAAATTTAAAATTTGAAGCTCCATGAAAACTGGAAATGCCAACATTTTATTCTTTCAAAAAACATACGCAGTTGTGTTTTTTTAGTTGAACTAAAAATATATGTATTAAAAAGATCGTATGTGATTTGCATTTATTTTTCGATAAAATATTGTGGTTAACAGCTGTGCATGTCCAATGAATATAGTATAGGAACTCCCACTGCCGTAGACAAGAAAGCATGTTTCGGGTGTTTTGTAGTTTTATCTAATCTGTTTAACAGGCAGTGTCTCTATTATTGTTGAGATATTGACGGGTATTTGAAAAAATTTGCAACAGTATTGTTGGAAGTATTATAAAGGGTCTCTTAAAAAAAGTGATAAATTCGACGTAATATTTTATTTTTGTTATTCTGCCGATCCAAAGTTAACTACTTCGTAAACCAAATGCATGCCGTTTATTTTTTGGCGTTATTTCTCATTTATTTAATTTCTAAGGTTGTCTTATGTGGAGATATGTTAAGAAGTTGTAAAATATTAGTAGCATTTTCGGATAGGGATAAAAATATTGCATTTTTTTTATGTTTGATCCACAGTTTTACAATGAGTGGAAAACTTGGTGGGAGACTATGCAGTTTACATTTATTTACCTGTTTAAAATATTCTACTATATACCTCACTACAGTCACTTTTTTATTTTAGGTAAAATCTTGTGGATTACTACAAAAAGGAACCCAGATTGTACGACCAGATGGCCGCATTGTAGTCATACCGCCCATTGAACGTCCAACTACTCGAAGTCGTAACAAGAAAAGCAGTGAAGAAATAGTCACGGCAAAGTATGTAGCAAAGGTCATTTAGTGTTCTAAAATAATGTCTGTATTGTTTTAATTTCCGACTGAAAAATATTATTGCCTCGATAAATAAATTAGTAATTTAAATCCAAAGAAAGGTAAGAATTTTATCGATAAACTTTGTGTGCAATTACCTACCGAGCTTTGAATTAATGAAACGCCATTTTATGAAAAAAATATGATGTATATGTTTTTAAACAATAAGCGTTATTATTATTTTGTTTTCAATAATTAACCGGGTAAACATGAATTCTGAAATAGGTACGGTTGTGTTCAATGAAAATGGGAAATTTCAAAAGAAAAATCTGTCATTTTTGGTAATTTCTCATTCAAAATAATATTACGTTGTTTTTATTTGCTATTTTGACATTTTTATCATGAAATTTCAAATTTGATTCGGTTGGGATTATCGCTTATCATTTTGTCACTGACATAACACGTGGGTTATCTACGGATGTTTCTTCCATAAAGCAAAGTTTTTCTATATTTTGAGCTAAAATCAAAATTAAGGTAACTGTTAAAATATGGACACTTATTAGGGCATGATAGAGAATTGAGGGATTCAGAGCTAAAGTGGACCAAGTCCAAAAATAATGATTTTTGAGTTACCCTTACCAAGTAATTGTCGAAGATTTGTACTTCTCAATTCTATAATTAACCAAATCCATATTTAAAATATTAACCCATGTTATGGGAACATTGTTTTTATGTTGTGAAGTATTTTTCAGAACGTTCAGTGGAAAAATTGATCAAGTCCAAATTGTGATAATTCTTTGTTTTTTATCCTTCGTCCTATAAACCCAGACAAGTAAAATATGCAGATTTGTTGCTTTACATTCCTCCAGTTCACCACAACTATTTTAAAAACTTAACCACAAGCAACTTCCACCAGAAAATCTTTTGTAACACAATCAGTTGAAATGAAAGACGAAGAAATAATCCATAGTGAAATAAGACAAGCAGTCACTAAGGGTATCTCATACAACTGATATAAAATTGTATTGATAACGTATGCAACTTAAGTCTTGGACCTTTTTTTTATTCGTTAAAAAAATTGGAGCAACATCAAAACCATTTAATTACAAACATTTTTGTAACCCTTTATTTATATTACACTAATAAGTGGTCCATAGTCTTCTATTCCACAAAATTTTGTTCTGATAAAACCTCTTAAGGTACTGGATGGTATTCAGGTCAAATGCCAGCCTAGTATGGCACACCATACTAAAATTTTATCTTTAAACTTATGTTTGCCTTATATTTCACATCATCGGGACAGTTTTCTATATCATCATTGTAAAACCCCTCATTATCCTTAATTTATAACTGGGTAATGTGAAATATTTTGCATCATTCAAGATGATCCCTCTTTGTTAATGTTTTTGGCACTTCCTTCGTTTACGATACTTCAGACCTTTTCTTTTAAGTTGTCGACTGATAAATGGAAACCAAACAAAAACAGCTTTTGAGTAATTTGCAAAAGTAGAAATTTGTCCCAAAACTTAAGTTACATTTATTTAAAAATAAAACGGTTTAATGTTAATTTGTTGGAAAGTTCACATATACTTGTCACAGTCTCCCTTTATCTGAAAACTTTTGGATTACATGATATTTTTGAAACGATTCATTTGATTATATCATTTGTTTGATTTTGTGTGAGTCACTCGGTATATACACTTATAGAGGGGCTAACGTGAAATCTGGGCATTCATTAATGCATAAGAGACGTTTCAAAGACGAAACGTGTTTTTTTATATTTTGACAGATCAATAATTACCATGTTGATTCCATCTAAATTCTTTATCGATATAAAAACCTAAATATTTTGTAAATTTAGCCAAATTGCTAGGCTAATTAAAAGTTTGTAACGTCAAAACATTTTTATCTCTGTTTAGCAGTAAATCACTGTTCAGCTTTATTTACACAATTTTTACTTTGGCTAGAAACAATATCGACTGTTGTTTCTGTAATACCAATGCAGGTGTCAGCGTGTAAAGCATTACATCAGCGTGGGCTATACAGCTTAAATAAAAGGTCATAATACAATACCTCCGAGTAAAAACCATATAAGTCCAATTTTTATCGAGTTTGAGATTATTATTGTACCACTAGAAAGTGTATAAAATTCTACACAAAGCATATCTTATTATGAAAAATTTAAAAAAATATTAACGGCGTTCTCTCCAAGAATTTAAGCAGATAAGTACCAAATTTGAACTGATTATTCGAAAACAACCAGACAAGTCGACTTATCTCATTTTACTATATGTTTCTTACAGACATATCGACTTATCTGGTTACTAGCGTCTATTGATGCACTCTTCTAACGAGATAAGTGCACTTATCTGGATTCAAAAAATCAAAAAGACGGAGAAAAAAAAATAGTGCGAACTACCAGAGGCAAAACCGGTTGGAAAAACAACATATTACAATATTTTTCATCAACAGAATTTGTCATTCAAACAACCAAAGTCAGATACCTGCTCCACCTGTGACACATTTAATATGAAAATAAGAGCAGAAGAGTGTGAAGATAAAAAACTATAATATCAACAAGAATTGCAATGTCATCAAGAACAGGCTGAATTTCCTTACGAACAAAGCAAGAGATATAAAAAAATGTAAAGATAACAAACAAATATAAAAACGGTAATTTTTGACTTACAACAATGCTTGCCAACTCCATGCTTAAGTACGTCAGTGATCTTCTATAAGAGACAGCTATGGACTTTCAATTTAACTCTTCATAATAATCAAATAAATAATACACCATTTTCTTACATGTGGCACGAATCTATGTCAGGGCGTGGTGGCAATCAGATAGCTTCTTGTCTATTTAAATATATTCAAAACCTCCTCGATGATGTCAAAGAAATTACACTTTCTTCAGATACATGTGGTGGCCAAAATAAAAATAATCATGCAATTGCAATGTTTTTATACATTATGCAAACTATCAACAGACTGGATCATATCGATCATAAATTTCTTGTCCCAGGCCATACACACATGGAATGTGATAGTGATCATTGAAAGAAAGGAAAAAACACTGAAATTGAATTATATCATCCCTACGACTGGTATCGCCTCGTGGAATCATGTGGTAAGAAAAACTAGAAGTTTAAGGTTGTGAACATGGAAGGAAATGATTTTCTTGTGTCGCTGTTGAAACGAATTTTGGTGCAAAAAAACATTACCGAAGAAGGCGACAAAGTAAATTTTAGAAATATCAGGTGGTTTCGTTATGATAAAGATAAAAAAGGCTGTGAGAATACCCCTTTTAAGTGCATTAACTACATCAGACGCTAGGAAGAGGAAAAGAAAAGTGCCATAATAGGCCAGAGCCAACAAACAAAGACAAAAAAGGAATCTTTTGGAAATACTGAAGCTAATACCCAACGAGTTTCGACATTTTTACAGGAACGTTCCCACCGACGAAAGAGTAGATCCCGAAACAGCAGATTTTTCTAGCGATGAAGTAACAATTTTTTTTGAAAAAATATTATTTGTTTTTAAATTTAGTAATTTTTATAAAATTAGGTAATGATTCTGTTGTATTTTTTATTATTTTTTGTTGCAATGAGATTCAATTTTTTATATACATAGTAATTTATTATATTTACTTTTCTAGTTAATAAAGGTTTCTTATATATATCTTTCGATTTAATTAATTTTTTATTAAAAAAAAAAAAAAAACAAATAGCAAATACATACATACATAAGTTACTGCTACCAGCCAGATATGTTGCCATCAATGTTTAGCGAAGATTTCTCACTTAGCATTATCATTCTACATAAATTATAATACTAAAAAACTATGTATTTAATAAAACAACAATAATATGTCAAAATAGATACATTTTTGTATCTCAAATCGATTTCTAAATGAAAAGTAGAACTTTGATGACAACCAGATATATTCAAAACTGAAACGCTAATACCCCGGAATGTCTATATTTTTGCAAAAATGGAGGAGAGTTATAAAATGTTGTTTTCAGTTCCTGTAAAGTTGCACTATATCGACTTACCTGGTTTTTACCCGGAGGTAGTGTATAAATAATAAAAATGATATAAGCCCAATAATAGACCCTTGGGGAACTCTATAATGAATGCAATAAAAGTCTGATCAGTTCCTATTTAAGGTTACTTGTTGAATTCTACTTTTTAGGTAACTCAATGAAGAGATTTATGCTAGACGGTGGAAATTATAAAAATACGTTTTTCGAAATAGAATATCATGCATTACACAGTCAAATGCCTTGCTGCGATTTAAAAAACGAGTTTATATGCTCCGATACCAACCAATATCATAAAAAAATCTCTCTGTTTTTGCTGGTCTAGATCGGCAATTTTTTGTTTCTGAGTAAGTAAAAAGAGATTTTAAAGATACACTCTTCAACGAAAGTTTTTTGATACACTGTATGTTTAACAGTACTTCATATCTTTATATAAACTGGTTATAAGGGAAGTAAGATTTAGGTTAGGTGAAACACTCTGTAAATATGATATGTATAATAACGTATTCAAGTAAGCAACTCATACTCAACAATTTTCGTTAACAGAAGTAGCAACGTCTGCTTTTTGTTGGACGCTGAGTGTGGCTTATTATTTTTTGCTGTTTTTTTGTATATTGGACCTAGCTGCATATTTAAAGTCTCTGACTGGTACCATCATCAGAGCTAAATAATAAACAGAAAACTTGTTTACAAAACATTAACGTTACTACACTTACCCGAATTACATAATTAGTGACACAAATTGGGCTTGAGGCCTGCCGTTAATAGCAAACTCAGGGTCTAACGAGGAAATGGAAAGAACACGAAATACAAAGGTAAATTAGAGATATCTATCGAGTTTTCTAGAAATAAAAAGGTAATTGGCGCCGTCCATCAAGTGTTCTACAAATGCCAAGTAGAAAAATGTATAGAATCACAAATATTATTAAAAATTGTCTTTTGAGAAAGATAAAACTAAATATAAAGAACAGAATAATAAAAAAGCAGACGTTGAGAAAATATTTAAGAAATAGTTAGTGAGGAAGAAAGGAAAGGAGTATTGAACCAGTTTGTTTGGGCAATCAACTTCAGTCCAAGGTCATATCTCGTTACACTGGTACCTCTGGAGTGTCTTTTAATCTCTCGTTTTAACTCCGGTCCGAACTGATACGAGCACCTATTGTAAACTTTTCATAAAGTTTTGATGTCCCCTTTTTAAATCCGAATTACACAATTCATGCAAATAGAAACAAACGTGGAACTAAATAAGTCCGAAAGTAAATGTGTAATAAGTAAAGAAGTCATACAACGACAGAATTTTATATCGCAAAAAATGTTACAGTATTATTAAAACCGCATTTCTAGATTCGATTTTGTAAAATGTGTCTCATAGAAAAATAACAGTATTATGACATAATTTATAATAAATTTTGTTAACTCTCTGAATGCTAATATTGTTTAAATAAACAATTATTAAAATAATTTTTAAGGTACTTTGCTTCCTAATTCAACATGAATTGAATATGTTTAAGTAGTAAATACGCGTAATTAGAGTTGGGTAGATATTTGCCGGACTAGAGTTAATGCCATGCCTAAGGAACGACCTGCTGGGGGTCAATTCTCAAACTCGTTCGCGTGTAGTGTAAGAAGTAAAGATATAGCGACATGCGCAGAGGCGGAGTTTAATGGAAAATTGAGTGAAGTATCTTTTCGTTATTCAAAGCGGCGTTGAAACATGTTCTTGCTGAAAACATCGGTCTCGTTTGGTTTAACAGTTCGCCAAGATTTTAATCCTGGAATAGGGAGATAATTTTGACTTGTCATACCACCGTTGATATTGTTCAGATGTAAGAAGTGTGCGTAAAGTGGAAAACATTAATGTTGAAAAAAAAAAATAGACCGATTAGACGATGTCTACTTACTCTACCAATAGATGCGCATACGAATGCCTCCGTATATGGCAACAGCTGCAAAATATAGGGGAAATTTAAATGCGATGGTTGGTAGAACTCACGGAGTATCGGTTTAAATCCAAGAAAGACTGTTTTAATCTGTTGCCTCCAAGTTTATAGGCAGCAAAACACGTAGTATCGATGTAAATTATTGATTCAAATTATTATTGTTTTTTTTTTAAGTTTTCTTTACAAATTGCGAATATGTAATGCATTTTACGGCCTTTTCAATGCAAGTTTAAATCAAAATAAGTTGAACACTGACTAGAATACAATATGTCCAACAAAGTAAAACGGCAATTCTTTTGATCTGCATTTTAAGGAATGTATGAGTAAACATTATAAACATAAATAACATTATCAATTACTTGTTTGCAATGTAAATAACAATAAATTCTCTTTATTGTTCAGAACTCGCAGAAATACGACTGAAATATGACACTAATAATAATAATAATAATTAGTCTCATACTTTTGAATGTTTCAAAATATGTGGAAAATGAAAATTATATATAATAACTAAATAAAATGTGTAGGGGTATCAAAAAATGAATAAACATAATTAAAACTGAAACTTATGATTTTTTTCTTCCTGGTTTTATTAGAGTTTTAATTCAAGATAATTATTAAAAAACCAAAAAAATTAAAAAGTCTATTTAAAAAAAATCGATTTTTTCAGTCCTACGTATTAGATACCAATTCTTGTGATTTTTTACAATGATGCAGATACAAACTAAATAATATTTGAATTAATTGAATAAAACTACTAGAGACCTACTATTTGCAACAAACAAAAATGTATTTTTGACGAGGACTACCGCAGCCAGCAGATATTAGACTTTTAATCCATTGTGTGTTTTAATGATAGGAAACACTATAAAGCTATTATTAAATTATTATATTTGCCCATTCGTAGACGTTCGAACATTTGCATGAGTTCAAAAATCGACCCTCTGTACTATAATCTTTTTTGTTCAAACCATCGAAGAAAACATCAGCTCGTGTGTGGCTATTCCATTAGTGTTACACTGCACCTATTCAATACGTGTCTTTGCAAAAATGTTGATGACGTCATCACAAAATTTTGTTAAAGGAAAACTCATTTGAAACCTAGGCGCAGCACGCTTATTTACATTTACGTTAACGTTATATTGTACATATCTTTGTTGTCACTTATAAGGATTCTCATAAAAAAATTAAATTCGCATAGTCAAATTTTATAATTTTTCGAAAAAGCTGGATTTGTTTGATTGTACTTCAGGGGCGGGGGAAGTTCTGCTTAATAAGTCAGTTTCTTGAGAAAATATATCATTATTTTAATTCTGTGGGTATCGTTGGTGATTTTTAGAAATAGCGACGGTTACGGTTTTCAGATTTTTATTCGTTGCTTACGGTTGAGAGTAAGAGGGAGAAGTTTTTAAAAGGGTGTTTGAATGGTCGACAGGTAGGTTCGGTTTTGGAAAGGTGGAGGCCGATAAAGAAAGAGTTTAGAAAATTATAGAAATTGGAAGAGAAAGTAGGAGCATAGGGTAGGTAGACGAAAGATATGACCTATTTACAATTGTACAGATTTACATATATATATATAGTTTAGGTCGATCACGTGATTTTGTATGTACGGTTGTTCCTACAATTCAATTTATTTTCCAACGCTTCGAACATTAATTTTTTTGTTCTTCAGGGGTGCATAAATTATTTTTATCACTGAGGCTGTAATTGCCAAGGTGCTAGCGCGCTCAACAATTTAATGTGCCTCTGAAGAAGAACAAATGATGTATGATTGAACCGTTGGGAAATAAACTGAATTAAAAGAATGGTGTTTTTTCTTAAGAAACTCTACGTCGTATAAATATGTACCGAGAAATCTACATACAACGAAATCATTAAAAAATGCTTTCAAAAAAGCACAGTTAATTTTTAAATTGTGCGCTGATGGAATAAATGTGAACTGTAAAAATGAATTTCTTTAATCATATATAAATTTTGGGGATATAATATTTTTTTACTGCAGGTTCAACCGCAAACCTTTAGATGAAGAACATGTATCGGGAAACGAACTGGATAGTTCTGGGGAGGATGAAGAAGAATCAGAAGATGATCCCAATAAATTGTGGTGTATATGTAACCAGCCGCATAATAATAGATTTATGATATGTTGCGATACGTGCGAAGAATGGTACCACGGAAAATGTGTAAATATTACAAAAGCAATGGGCCAGCAAATGGAATCAGAAGGAAGAGAATGGATTTGTTTGTTTTGTAAAGTAAGTTCTACCCTATCCGTGTAAGTTTGAATTTAATCAATGAAGATGATGCAGGATCCCATGTTAAGAAGACCTCAAGCTGCTGCAAAAAGAATTAGGAAAGCCTCTCGTAATTCAAGACAATCTTCCGATAGCAATAGCAGTTTGAAGTTAGTTGAAGTTAAACCAAATACAGTGCCGTGTGTCGTTTGTCAGAAACCTTCCAGGAATAATTCCATTTTTTGTAGTGAAGCTTGCATTTTGACTCACGCACAAGGTGTTGAGAGAGTGAGTACCTAATAGATTTATTCAGCAAAGAATTACAGTATTACTTTTGTAATTTCAAAATGACAACTACTGGTAACTATTTTTGTTAGAATTTTGTGATAAAAAAAACGGTTGATGTCTTAACCTGAGAGGAATAACAATAGTAAATAATCATGGTAACAACAGTAATAGAAATATTAATAAATAATAATTATTTCATTCTGTAATAATAAAAGTAATGGACGTTCAAAAATAAATTATGATTTTAAGGAGAATATTTTTGTTTTACATCCTGTGAAATATAATTATAAACTTTAAATTGCTATTGTTAAATGGTTACTTCTTTTTTGTCTTTAATATAAAATTAAGTTTTTAATGTGTTTTTTTGAATTTATATATATATTTTTCAAACAGGTAGTTGTATTTGAACGATCATCAGGTAACATGTTAACTGGAAATAAGGCTCCTAGCGCTGCTAATCTTGAGCAGTGGCTAAAAGACCACCCTGGATATGAAGTCGTAAGGTCTGCGGGAAAAATTGTTACTACCAAGGTAATATTCACTCTTCTTTCTCAGTGATAAATTGATAATAAACTGTTCATGCAGACGCAGCTAACAAGTCAGTCAAAGTTGAAACTAATTAAAAATTTGAATAATGAAACACGATCCCCGGTATTTAAAAATAAAAATTTTAATGGAGGAGTAGTAACAAAGAGTATTCCAAAAAGTCAGCCACATTTGACGAAACCTGCAAATAAGGTATTTAAATGACACCGGTTTAAATAAAAAAGTAAAGTTTTCACTATGCTCGCTACAACAAATTTATCTTCATTTTTCTTAAAAATTTTAACTTTATGTCAATTTTAATTATTTTTAAAAATGTTAAGTTACTTTAGAAAGTGGACTAATATATTTGACATGTATTTTACTAACCTGAAATTATCTTGATTATCTTTCTAGGCTAATATATCTGGACTAAAAATTATTAAGCAAATATCCCCTTCTCATCAAAAGGACAAAGTGTATAGTTCTAGCAAAGAATCAATAATTTCATCGCCAACTAAAATTAAAACTATACAGTCGCCTATAAAAGTAAGTTCTTCACCTGTTAATAGAGAAAAGTCAGCACCAACAAAGATACAAAAAGTTCGACATGCTGATCAGCCGTCATCAAGTACACCCCAACCTAAACAAGAAAATATAAGAGAAAATGTTCAAAAAACTATATTTGAACAATTAACTAATAGATTAAAAATGGTCGATGATTTAAAAGTATCAGAGGAAGATTTAAAAGATATTTCAACTGAAATAGAGTCTCAGTTATATAAATGTTTCGGCGATACTGGACAAAAATATAGAAATAAATACAGAAGCTTAATTTTCAACATAAAAGATATCAAAAATCAAACCTTGTGGAGACGAATTTGTGAAAAATCTATTAATCCGTACCAGCTGGTAATTCGGTAATCACTGTCATTTATAAGTTTTTGTTAATTTACTTTTTTAGGTAAGATTGTCTCCAGATGATTTAGCTAGTCAAGAGCTGGCGCTATGGCGAGAACGAGAAGCAAAACATCAGTTAGACATGATAAAAAAATCAGAACTAGAATTGTTGAAATGTAGTCGTCAGTATGTTTTAAAAACTCACAAAGGTATATTGGTGCTAAGCGTCAAAGGGTTGTAGGAAAACTTATTATTTTGCAGGGGAACAAATTTTAGAAGATAATCGTCCTACAGATCATATTGACAACACAGAAGTAATTACTAGTTTAACAGATGTTGAAAAATCCGAACGTAAAATAGACAGTTCAAAAGAAAATGATAGAAAAAACCACAAGCACGGTCATAAAGAAAAGGAAAAAGATCGCAAATCCAACAAAGAAAGAAGTGACAGTAAAAGCCACCATAGCTACAGATCATCAAGTAGAGATGATCGCAGTAGAAAAAGATCTCGCAGTAGGGATAAAAATTCAAAACACACTGACAGAAGAAGACCTAGAAGTCGTGGAAGAGACAGACACAGGAAATCATCACATAAAAGTTCCAGACACAAAAAAGGGTCACATCGAGGGTCTTCAACAGAAAAACTTGATAAAAAGAGTAAAGAAATTCTTGAACAATTGGTTGACAACAAAATTGTACCTCCGTTGGAAGACAGATTATGGAAACATGTTCCACAAGATGACATTTTATCAGGTATGAATTTTATTGATATACAATTAACAAATAGAACGTGGTACAATGTACATGAAATATAAGCGATTTTATGTACATTTAGTAGACTAGCGTATTATATTTTGTATATCTAGAGTTATATATTTTTCAGCTCCGATCATAGAAAGTGATAGTGATCATGAACCAACGTCGACTGTAATAATTCCGACTCCACCACGAAATAGTGAATCTGACGATTTTTTAACAAATCAACCCATTGGTGAAAATAAAAATGGTATGTATTTGTTTCTATAATGAACTCTATGCCTGTATTTTCAACCTTTCGTTAAAAAGGAATTCAAATGTTTTAAGTTTAGTGTGAAAGTATTTCTTATCTTAACAGAAACAAACACACTGCTCAAAAAAGTAGAATTTATTTAACCTCAAAAAAATTTAAACAAATCGTCATGTCCCAAACGACTACGCACTTTCTCGTGGACTGTTCTCCAAAAATATAGAACATGATTAAATACATGTAGATAGTCCCATCCTATGGTTTCGAGCATGCAGTCTGACGACGGGCGAATAAGAGATGGCGCACCAACGATTCGCCGTTAAAGACAGAGACTTTAAATATGTTTAAAGTCTCTGGTTAAAGACCGGCAAATAGCTTGGACACCAATCGCTTGCCTAGACTACTCGCACAACACCAACAAAACTGTTTTTAAATCTACCACTAGATAGAAGGCGAACGAAAAAACGTGTTAACCTACCCCATACATTCCGTTACAACTATTATCATAATTTATAACGTTTCCTGATCAGACTGATGCCTACCCCATCTTTTCGAATATTTATAATCTGGCCTGTCCGAACTGCTGCGGAACATTTCTAAACCGCGATCGAATTGCGATACAAAATTTTTCGACTGCCAGATACTTTAAGTTTAATTTATTAGATATGTCCTTTTAATTCATAATTCATGACCAAACCCCGTTATAATGCTCAGTTGAGGGTTTAACGATCTCGCATATTTGAAAACATTTTAATTAGAGCGGCCAGCAAAAGGAAAGATGACAGCACGTGGCCAGCGCAGATCGCACAATTTCGTTCTGGTCGAGTCCATTGTGAGCTGAAGGGAGATACCATATATCTAAAAGATACATATAATACCGTTCTAGGAGAATTCGGCGCGACCGACTTGGCGCGAGACATTTTGGCGCAAAGCCAACTTGGCGCAGGGACACTTTGGCGCAAGCCATCTTGGCGCGGGCCATCTTGGCGCGAATGAACTCGCACCAAGAAAAATAGATATAAATATACAAAAATTGCATCCGTTGTTAGCATAACCTAATTTTTATAGTCACCAACGCGTGGAGGGGTAATGTCGACTTCTCAATGGACACAGGGGCGCTTCGCGCCCTGCACCCCATTATAAACATACTCCTAAACGTGGAAGTTCTTGCTCCGTGGATCATTTAGTTATTGGAATTTGTGCGAATGAAACTGTGTATTTGGTTGCCTACACTTGGCATAAATAACAGAGTGCCAACCACAGTACGAACAATAAAGATTTTTTATATTATATACAGACGTACTCGCGCCAAGATGGCTTGCGCCAAAGTGTCCCTGCACCAAGTTGGCTTTGCGCCAAAATGGATTGCGCCAAGTCGGCCGCGCCAAATTCCGATATAATACACAGTGGCGCGCGTCTACTCGCTGTTTAAGGTTTTTTCCTACGAGCGGTTGGTGTGTCTTCTCGAGTTGCTTTGTGTTTTCCAGGGTATTTCTTTTATAATAAGTAAAACAGTCTTGTTAAAGACTCAATTTAATTATTTAAATAAAAAATAATTAATGAAATGTTGTATGGTACGACACTGGTGACTTGAAGCCGCGCAGCCTAAGCTCCGCCCATGTCATCTTCTATTCTGCCGGCTGCTCTAACAGAAAATACATTTGTAATTTTATTTTTCGTAAATTTGCTCTTGTTACTAATAACACTTTTACAGCGAAAATGTTTATGACATCGGAGAATGCTTTTAAGTGCTTACGTTTTCTCAAAAGTTACTTTATTTTGGCTAATTTATTTTATGGTGAAACAGGTTGTCCGCTTTTTAAAAGAACAACGGACTACTAGGATAATAATCAATGATTTTTATTTTTTTATAACAAGATTAACACTTTTAACGTTAACAATAATAATAATAATAAATAACATGTATAATAACGTACCTAATAGAAACAACATATTTAAATAACATTATTAATAATAAAAAAATACATAACATAACTAGCACCCTACCAACTATACTGAAACAAAATAAAAAATACCTTAATTTATTTTTACACTGTAAAAAGTAGTATAATATTTCGTTGAATAAATAGCAGAAGTAACTATAAAATTTGCATCCATATGCATGATGAGAAATCTTATGACAAATCTAATAAATTAATAAAAGTTAGGGGAAACGGTTTAGACAGTATTTCGTCCTTCAAAGTGCAACCAATGCATACCAGATATTTGACCATTCCCTACCATGCATACTTCTTTCTTTTTCAAAAATACTTGTACCAGCTGTAACAACTAAAGTAAATAGGACCAAAGCAAATACACATGGAGACATTTTATTGGACGATTAGATCACTGCCAACTTGTAAACGGAGAACACTTTGAACATTTATTGTAGCCCCACTCATAGTTTATTATTTATTAGTATTTTCAAAGATGACGTGATTTTACAATATCAGATGTTTTTTGTGAATGTTTTTCTATTTTTTGTATCAGTAGAAATAAATATGTCCAAGCTATTTACCGCTAATGTGACTCGATATAAAAGTAATAATCAGTACGCGGGAATTTATCTCACCGCCGCAATCCCCCAGTTGAAGTAAGGTGTGTTTTACGGCGAGTAGCGGGGACGCTTTGAGCTGGTCCACAAGGTCGCAGCCAGTGCGTCGCTAGGAGTGATTACAGCTAGTAAAAAAACTGCTTCCATATTACTATATTACTTCAAATAATAATACTGGATGCCCTTTTTAATTTTTCAACCACAGGACCACAGATTTGTGATCTTGAAATGTTATATTATGTTGATGTAGTTCAAAAGAAAAATATATTTGTAATCAAACTATCGCCTCGACAGCACTGGATCTAGCGTATGAGATAGAATTCCGCGCGTTGGTAATAATAGATCTAGTGACTTTATTTACCGCCCTTTGACGGCGCCACCTCTTATTCGCCGACCGTCAGACTACACGAAACCATTAAACGGTACTATCGGTATGTATTTAATCAATGTATAGTACAAATCCTATTTTTTTTTTATTTTCGTTGTAATTTCCCGAGTAACTCTGTAATGCCTTAGAAGAAGGTGTCATACCTAGTTTCGCGTTTACTGTTTTAGTCAATAATTTTACCCAATCTCACATCAACAAATTGCATTGTACCTAGATTTCAAGAAAATTAGAAGAAGATAGAACTCTTATATTGATTTTAAAATGAATCTTAATAAAAAAAAAATCACCTTTTCTTTATTAACAAACTATATTTTTTGTGAATACTTTATTATCGTTTGTGATGTCATATTTTTGTTTTTCGTGTATTATTATTTCTTGTATTAGGTGTAGAAACCTACCGGAAATAAAATGGAATTCTATTGTTACGTATTTTCCAGAAAAGCTTTTTGGTAAGGAAAGAGTCGAAGAAGATGGGTTAACTACTTCTCCGCAAACGAAATCGGATGAAATTTGGAGAGGTGTTATTAATATGATAGATGTTGCACAAATATCAATCACGGCTCATGAAGTATCAGGTAGTACATATTCTGAAAAATGGAATTAATATTTATTTCGTAATTTAGTAGTTACTGATATTAATGGTATTGAATTATTTGTTGCAGGGGATTGTAATGGTTTATCATCAGAACTACCTGCAAATTTAGATATTGTGGGTAGAATATCTCCTGATACAGTTTGGGATTACATTGGCAAAATGAAATGTTCTAACAGCAAGATTATTTCCATTGTCAGACTAAATGCCATCAATGTAGAAGAGAAAATGCCATATTTAGCTCTCTACAGTTACCTGTCCAGCAGGAATCGACTAGGGGTCGTAAAAAGTACAAATAAGGCTGTAAAGGATTTTTACATATTACCTTTAGCCTCACAGAAGCCCATTCCGCAGGCTTTGTTGCCTCTTAATGGTCCAGGTGAGTTTCTCTTGAATGTGTTGATTAGGTTGTGTAGGTTAATAAGGTTCGTTTTTTAACTCAGTTTTGTAGTTGACAGAAAATTATTATAGGTTTAAATTGAGAGAGGCGCGCCAAGTGACCGTTATTTGTTTAGAATTTATTCATAACATAAAAATTGGCACATGCCAGTTATGAAATATTTTATTGATTTTGGTGCGTAAACTTGCTTTCTGTGTTACTACAAGACGATAATATTATTTTTATTTATGTATTTTTACCATAATAATAATAATAATAATTTTTAACAACAAAAAATGTACTAAACGGAATATATTATTTTTTCAGGTTTTGAAGAAGCTCGACCAGCACTGCTTTTGGGAATTATAGTAAGAGATAAACGAAAACGACCTTATGTTGATACAATACCACCTATTGTTACTAGTTCTAAGAAAACAAAAATAGACTTGGTAATCCCTCCGCCGAGGTCTTACACTCCACCACCGTTAAAAGAATCGAGAGTAAAACTGCCCCTTCCTGCATCAGATATTGATCAAGACGGTGGTAAGTTTCTCAGTGAAGTAAATTTAATACAGTTATAGCGACTTTCAAAACGGGCTAAATTTATTGGCCCGTGAAAAATTAGTAAACTAACGAGAAAAAGTCGGTCGAAATTTATTCTTCCGTCGCTTCTCTGAAGTACAAGTGCAACAAATCCCAGTTCTTTGAAAACTTGTAAAATTAGAAAAATTAGCCGCATAAACAACGCCCCCCCAGCGCCTGCGCTGTGAAGGCGCAAATTGCACAAGTACAAACATTGTAAAATATACAAGTACTCCATACAGATATTAGTCTTAGGCAGTCAAAGAAATATCGTATTTACAAAGCATTCGGTTTTGCAGGTTCAAAATTAAGTTGCAAAATTTTGTTACAATTTTTTTTCTCGGCAAAATTTTGAGGTGACATCGTCAATTTTTTGGGTGGATTAAACAAATGTATTTTAATTAAAAAATTGAAGTCTTGCAAACGTTTTAGGGTAATCACGGTACAATAAATAGTTAATCAAAATTTATTCGTTTATCCCCTCCCAAAAAGCCGTATAAATTTAGTCTTTGACGTTTTTTCTATCTCTATTAATTAATGAGAAATCGAGCTGAATGACTCACTCTGTATGTCTTAATATGAGAATCTTTATCCTTACGAAAATGAATGAAGAATAATTCGCACTATGAGAGCAATACTCACGTACAATAAGTCAAAATTTGCCGAATTCTTAAATTCATCATTAATGCATAAAAAATTAATGTAGTTTTAGTACATGTAAGTATAAACGGTTTTTAATAGTTTTAAATGTTTGTCTTGCATTTCCGAAAATTACGTGTGCACTTAATGCAAGACTACCGTATCTCAAAAATAAGTGAAATGCACGTAAGCTATAAAGCTATGAGATTTCAGTCGATGTTGATAATCTGATACTCCTACTAATTTAGGTACAAATTGAACACAACCAATGCACAATGTCTTCTGATATAGTTAAGAATTGACCGAAAACATGGAAATCAATTTTTCTTTGACTAGGAAAGGTAGGAAAGTTAATTAGAGCGAAATAAAAAATTTAAAATTTGTCAAAAGTTCCATCGTATAGAAAGGAAGTATATCAGGAAATAATAGTCAGTCAATTTCCGAACATCACGACAACGGCGGCATCAGACTTAAATGAAAATGCTTAAACAATATTTATGAAGGTCCTTTATCAATACGTAAAAAACTACGATGGACTGAATCAATTATGTATAAAAAACGAATAAAATAAAATTATAACACATTTTATAACAATTTAGTCATAGTAGATGTTGAATGAATTAATACTGTGATCGTTTTGTGTTTTGTTATATTTTTTTCATTACAATGTGTTGCTAGTTTGCTCTTGTCTTAAATTTATTAACACATAATTAAATCATCATTACTCAAAACATGCTGTCTTTGAGTTAGATGAGTATTGCTCTCACAGGGCGAGTTATATACTCGAAAATACGGTTTAAGGTGTGCAGTATATGTATATTGTGCTTCATTGACGAGGAAAATTCCGTCAAAATAACTTTAAACCTTTAAACTTTATGATTTTTTTTCAGATGAACCGTACAGTCCAGAGGATTCGGATCCTGATAGTATTATACCATCAACAACAGAAAATATTCCCAATAAAACTTCAAACTTCTTGGAGTCGGATGTTGGTACATCACAAACTTTTCAACCATTTGCTAATAAATTTGACGATATACCAGGTTAGTGTGAAATATGAAATTGTAGAGAACAGCATGAACTCATTGACAAGGATTAAATGAGATAGCACATTTTTTTGTAACATTTTGCTTTTCAGGACTAGAGAATGCAGCACTACCTTCAAGCACACAAGAAATTCAGCGGCAAATGGAAAAACTTAATAAAGAAATTGAAATGCAAAAATCAGAAATAAATAGCATATCACAAAATATTGCAACTGCATCTACGGAAATTGGGACGACTGCCCTAGCTAATATAGCTTTACCAAGTAACTTGCAACAAATTTTAGACAGTATTAAGACCATTGGTGCCACAGGTACTATGGAAGTACTTGATACAAAGGTATGTAAGTGTACGATGGAATAACCATAAAATTAATGAAGCAGTTAATAATTTCACTTTTTAATTTTGATTTTGTTAGAGAGCAATATATATATATGTATATTGCTCTAATAGCAATGTCCTCTTTGCTAGTCTTTATATTTTCATCGAGACAGTACGAATGTAATGAAGTGTAAAATGCATTGAAAGAAATAAAACATGTAGTTTGTGAAACATGGGCGGTTGATTATCGGCGTTACCATAAAATTGAGCCGGTTTGAGAGGTCAAACGGAACAAAGTCAGTCTGACCAGATTACAAAAATAAATCTAACAAAACAAAACATTTTAACTTTAAACCAACAGTGTCGGTAACGATATGATACGGAAGATATAAAGAGTGTCGATAAAATTCCGCACAAAATTTATAATTCCAATAATTGACGTTTTCTTGAAAAATTCTTGTGCAACACGATCATATTTTTTAAAGTGATACTTTTTGCCGTAGATAGTTATCTTTGATTCTAGGTTGCGAAATAATTCTTTTGCATTCGAATATGCAAAAGCATTTCGCAATCGAGTATCAAACAACGTTTTTTCGAAAACTGTGGTCCAAACTTAGTAAACAAGCAATCTTAAGTATAGTAACGAGTCCAACGGGAGACTTGCCACTTTCATGTTTTCTCGACGTTTCATGACCCCTAGAGTAGGAAAAAAGTGCCTTATGTTTCCATTCCGGGAGAGCTATGAGTAGACTCGACTAACGTAACTTGCTTTACTGCGCAACTCACGTGATGGCCCTTTTTGTTCTGATTGTCACTCTGCCTCCTTTTGACAAGCGCTGTTCCTTTGTCGTGACTATTTGTATAGTGTTAACTACAAGGTCACATGACTCCACTAAACTTAGTAATGGAATGTTAGTTATAATGCCTTTTGTGCGACTGGTTACGGCTTCAATCTTAGCATCATAAATCAAGGATTTGTCTCAATATCTTGCCACCTCAATATCTACTGCTGAGTAATCCCCTTAAACATTTTTGGTACATTAAACCGACACAAACACAATTTACAACTGTGGGTTTGCTTTATTAACTGCTCCACTGTTGACTTCACAATACCTGTTATAATTGTTTGAAAAAGTTTTTCTAAAATTTTTTAATTTCACTAAATTACTAACAACAAGTTATTACATCTGTATGTAGCAAAATTGAATTACATGCAAGTAGCCTATCAATTTTGTGCGGAAATTTATCACCACTCTGAATAATCTTTAAGTCAAAATTATCAAAGTGTAGTATTAAAATAAAACTGAAGCAATGTAATTAAAGATGAGCGAAACCGTGATTTTGCGATCACGGTGATCACAGCGATCGTTCCTTTTGAATCACGGTGATCAAGTAACGGCGAGCGACGAAAGTAGCGATTTAATACTTGGATCACGGCGCCGGCGTGAACCGCGATTATTCACGGTTCTTTCTTGTCACCGTGATTTGGACGGTGATCGCAGGAACGGTGATCGTAGGAACGGTGAAACGGTGTGCCATGTGAACAGCAGAAAATTCCGATACATCGATGAATGAATAAATAATAATTGTTGGGATCAAATAAATAACAACAAATAATAGAATCTCGAAAGTTGTTTTGTTAATCTAATCAATGCATATCATTACTTGGTCTTAGTACCCGTAATGATAGAAGTCTTGCCTGAATGCCGGTCATTTTCGGGTCAGTGGTGGGTCTTAATAATAATATAGTAAATATAAATTTATTGCCTACATAAAAACATCATATTGCATAAAATGCATAAATAATTAAAAAAAAACTCTCCAAATGACTAGATGTCGCTTCAGATTTTATAACAGACTGTATGAAAAGAAAATAAAAGCCAAATTCACCATTCACTGTTTCGTATTACCGGGATCAATTTTAAAAGGGAAAATCACGGTGACCGTTACTTGCCGATACCCGACACGGTTACCAAAAGTGACAAACAGATCACGGTGAAATAATCACCGGTAGTGAAATATCGCGCATCTCTAAATGTAAAATTTACTTTGATGATGAGTTATCATAACTAAGGCTCTTTCGGAAATGCAATACATTATGAAACAGAAGAGATGTTAAATAATAATTAGTCAAACAAAATGTAAAGTATGTTAAGAGTGACATAATAAAGATGTAATTTTTATATAAAACGTAACAAAAATTTAGCGACTTCCCTCGTCCTCGAAGTATAATCATGCTCACATAAAGCCCGTACAACTTCACTTTTACGTTTTGTCAAAATCAATAGCTTGGATACAAAATCATATTGTCATCTCTACGGGATTGCAACAAATCCATCTTTGTCGAAAAATTATAAGATTTGGTTTTGCGAAGCGTAGTACATGTTTGTTTTAACTGAGTTTTTCCATTACAAAATTTTGTGATGACGCCATCAACATTTTTTGCACGGACACAGAACGGGTGATCAAAAACTTTTCAGATTAGGGTAGGCTATGGAATAATTTTGTATGTCTGTGACACGGTGATTAAGTAACTTTCAAACTTCAAACCTGTCAAATTTGAATAAGGTTTAGAATGGTGTTCACGTTGGAGTAGAAAACTTTTATGGTATAGGCGTACTTTCGTAACGCACGTAAAATAAATCAAGAATGGGAGTACTCTGTACCACACTGCATGGCGGAATTCCAAGAAAAATTCCAGAACTTTATTTTGGATTACAAAGATTTTGTGAATCATTTAAAGTATTCCGTGGGGCTATTTCACGAGACTGGCAGTGTTGGAAGAAAATAAAAAACACAATGTTTCAAACGCCGTGGCGGACTTAGATGACCTTACCCGCGGAATATCAAAGAAATGTAAAGAAATTAACAATTCTCTGGAAACTGCAACATGTTGTCGGTGGGGCTCGCCGGACAGCTAGACTGTATCTTGTGTCAAACAGGGGTCACTTGTTGGAAATTTATTTCTTTTTCTTTCTTAAAAAAGAATTACGCGGGATAAAATTAAGGTTACTAAGGTTCTGTTTCCTGAATGAACGACTGCTTACAAAAAGAGACAAAAGCGAGGAAAGGCGGTAAAAATAGTATATTTTATATCAAGAGACTAAAGTGCACGATGTAATCCCGAAAGTGGAGATTAGTACCCGAGCGTTAGCGAGGGCAATAATCACTTGAGGGATTACATCGCACTTTAGTCTTGTGGTGTACATACTATTTTTAGCTCTCTCGGGATTATAGATACTAAATTTTAAATTGGAAGCAAATATTCGAAATTACCTGTCATCAATCGGGATAGTAGAAGCGGGACACAGAGGGAAGAGTGAAGACTTGAATGTACGTGCCACGTGGTACAGTTAAAACTGCTAGTGTGTGGGGAAGAATCTGGCATGTGCAGTCAAGTCTGTTGGAATCAAAATTGCTCAGTGTGTGGACACAAGTCACTGCACGCTTGAGTTTAAATTCAGTTACTCCGTTTAGAGAGTGCGGGTTTAATAAAGTTACGCCGTTTAGAGAGTACGGGTTTAATAACTTAAGACAAGCGTGCACACTTTTAACTGCACAGTCTTCCCTCTCAGTGTGTGGCCGCCTTAAGCCTTGTCGGGTAACCAAGGCTATAGGTGTAAATAAGACGAGTCATTTTGAATTTTTCGATGTAGTTGTATTATAGGGTCAAAAAGAGCCACTTTAGTCCCGATTTACAGTGACTAAAATATCAATTTTAGTCCCGGGAGGGCAAAAAATCCTTTTAAATTCGCTACTTTGGAATTTGAATCGTGAATTTTGACGTCTTCCTTTTTTTGACATTGTTGGTATGAGTCAGTCACAAACATAAAAAATAATTCCATAGCCTACCCTAATCTGAAAAGTTTTTGATCACCCGTTATATCAACTTGGATAGATACAGTGTAATACTAATAACAACAGTACTTCCAAATTCACGGGAAATTCAATTAAGTCGATCTAGATTTAATCAATATAATAAATTAATTCATTATTTTTTTAAGTCATTCGGTATTGGTAATTCTAAAAACTATGAGTGCATTTAGAAACCACCAATAATAGTAGGGTCAACATCATCAATAATAATAGAGTCATCATATTTTGCATATTTCAGAGAATTAATATTCGGCAAGGGGATAAACGAATAAATTTTGTTTAACGATTTACCATGATTGCGAAAACCTTAAAACGTTTGCAAGATTTCAGAGCACTCGCTTTTATAGTTTCATAGTTAAATTACAAAATGTTATACAGTTTTGATATATATATTTTTTTTTTAATCTGGATGTCTAAGGTAAAAATTTCATCCCATTGGTGGTGGGGATTATTAGCAGAATTTTAGCTAATCATCCCCACTAATTTGGATAGCGTTTTACCATCTACAATGTCTACTCCTAATAGACACAGAAAATTTGTCAACAGCCGATCCAATAGTTTCGGAGATTCTCTAATAAAAATCGACACAAAAGACAGACAGACGAAAAAGGGAGACCGTTTTCATACTGTCGAGATGATGAAAGTGGCCATTCGTCTGATGAACCCTATTACCATATTTCCTTACTCTCGAGAAGTAACAAAAAAATACATTTTTAAATTAATTTAAATGAGTGCATTAAAGTCTATTGTGACTGGATCATAGGCTTTGTACCTTATCTGTTTCACATATTGCTAATGTTAAAATTTAAAAATGTGTATTGAATTTCTAAATTTGTAATATATTTTTTGATTAAAATTTTGGTCAAGTATAGTACGCCAAGTGCAACAAAATTGAATGAAAACAGTATTTGTTGGACAATATTAGTTCCTTACAATCGAAAATGGACTTAACACACCTTATACACTTACCTTTGAAGTATCCAATAATCCCTTTAAGTTATTTGTAGCATATGTATTGGTAATGCCTAGCAGAGAAAAAAACATAATAGCTCCAAAGGTGTTTCCCAAACGAATTATATGTAATTTTTTTCGTTCAACTGCGTTTGAACAATAAAATAATTTTGTAGAATTCATTTATTATGTTGAATTACTAATGACAATTGTTTCTTCACAAATTAATAGCTAATTGCTTTAAATATGTATATTATGCATATTATGCAGGTGATCAATATGATTTAATTCAAGAGTTTCGTAGGGATCTGTGTTTATGATGTTTTGCATATAATTCCTTCAGTTATAAAAACCATTTTTCATTTCTTTGTGGACCTACAACTTCTATTTCAGTTTACTTTTCAAAAATTAATGTTGAATTAAATTTTTCCGTTTTGTATTATGCACCCTACATCATCATTCATCACCTACGTACGACCATTAATTGAGCGCTAGGGTCTCGTGGGAGAATATAGAGTAGCGTGCGCAACTAGTTTTCTTTAGTATTTTATTTATGGTATATTCTTTGTTTATTTTATTTTATTTTTTTTATAGTCACAAAATTCTGGTTTATCGCAGGAGAATTCAGATTTCACCATTCCATTGATGTTACCTACGACATTTTCTCGCCAGTCCGTTAGTACCAATGTGGAAGATTTTCCAGAAACTACTATACCGTTAAATTTACCATCTAAAAAGAAAGTTACGTCAGAAACTGATAAATCGGGCAGCGTTTTGAGTTCTTTGTCGGAAGAGGACTTAATAAGAAAAGCCGAGGAAATGCTAGAGGACTCAAAAAAAAATTCCAGAGGAGATGCTCGTTCAATTCCTAAACCTACACATTCATTAACTAGTGTAAGCAATTCAATTACACCACGAAAACTGCCCAAGGTGGAGTTAAGTCAACCACCGATTCCAGGATTAGAAGATACAGAAATTTAAATATTGCGAAACACTAAAATATATATATAAATGGTGTAAGGATTTCATTGTTACTTCATTTAAATATCTACACAGTGAAAGAATGTTTACATCATGTTTATGTAGTAGTCACGTAGATCTATTAAGTTGTAAAAACATTTTTTTAGCCGAAATTTATCTTTTTTGTAAATACTTTTTTATTTTTAAGTTGTGTACAGAACAACACTATTTTTCCCATTTCATTGTATGCAGTTGTTTCATTTGTCTTTAATATGTTGTTCTGTTAATTCTAGATGATTAGTGTGTGAAAACGCGAAAGAAAACGTTGTAGAATATGTATTTTATATTTTTTGTTGCAATTTATATAAAGAAAAGTTTGTGTTTTTATGCATTGGCAACATACCTACAGTTTCTTATTATTGATTGTAGTCATGTAAGTAAAATAGTATTAGAAATAGAATATCATTTATTATATAATTAATTTTATTGTAGAAGTTTATTACAAAATCAAATTCTCTGATTTATTATAAAAAAATGTTTTTTTTTTTTCATTCGGTCGAACTGGTTTAACACTTTTTACCAATTCTTGCGAAGATGGCGTTGGGACTTTCCCATGAACATAACCGAAAGCCATTAAGAATGACGAATAATACATTAATTTGACAAATTTCCTCTAGTTTTGGTGACAGTTCAACGCAAATGAATTTGACCAGTGAAATGGCTTCGTTTAACTGAAACTATGAACCAATCCCAGACAGCCTACAAATTCTTGGTAAGGGATAACCCAACCGAGAGAGTTCGCAGTGCATCAACAGGATCGAAACATTACAGAATATTCAACAATATTAAAAGTAGATGTTATTGGATAACAATTTCCCGCGCTGTGGTGCTGTTATTCGGACTTGCCTCTTGAAACATTTTAGGGTAAAAGTAAATTTTTATGAACTATTGTAATCCTCGTGTTATGGATTCTTATCGCAGGGCCACATTTTTTTGATGAAAAAAATTTGTCAGTACTACTGCAAACTATCACTTTCAACATTTTTACTACATGCCGCACAGAATATCCTTAAATTGCTGGGTGCGATGACTGCGATGTTATGCAATTTCGCTGATGTTGACACGTGGTCTAAATTTTTGTTTATTGTTTGTAAATTTCACAGTTCATTGTAAAGATTTTTAACTGTTTGTAGTTCTAACAATTTAACAGTCTTGAAATTGTTTAGAAAAACCACGTGCTAGGAAATTCACATACAGTGTCCCAGAATTCGCGCCATTCCCGTGCATGAGATGTTGCCTGTTCCGAACTGTGCCGTAATTCGCAAAAAGAATTGTCCATGCTTTAACCGTGTGAGAACTGGAAGGTGATTAAGTTGACCAATAGAGAGGCTGCTTTTATATCCGAACGTTTCTATGTTCAAAGTTATCTATGCCAAGAACAAAAAATTGGGTAATACGAAAGTTGAATGAATTATTTTCGAGTCCCCCTCCGTCAACAAAAGGAAACAGAAGTGTGGTTTTATAAATTTAATCATTTTGACAATTGTTTGTCATAAACTGTCACGAAGTTCATCACTGACCTGAAGAGACGCTTCTGCGCCAAAGAAGACTGATTAATGTCCACAAGAGACTTCAAGGTTTACTTTGTGGATGTTTTCGGTATGGATTTATTTATGTACACATATTTACCACGGTGGTAGAAGTAAGGTGTGGAAACAAGCCGCTCCAATTTGTTGAATAAAACACGCATCCCAGTAGGCTTATTTACTACGAAATAGTATGCAGCACAGTATGTCCATCTATGTATTAACATTTCAACTTGTCCGTGTATTTATGAATGAAATAAGTGACAGATTCGTTGGAGGGAAAATAAATCACAGCACTACGGTTTGTGGTTGGTCTTTGGTGTGAATCGTGTGATTGGTAGATGATTCGACATTTGTGATTGGGTAATAAATGACATTGGCATAAATGTCAAAGATTTAATACAGTTTTCTATTACTTAATTTCAACTGATCTCTCCAGACGTCGCTGCGGTGTGGACAGATAATGACATATAATCCAAACCACGCGATTTGTGTTTTCTACCAATGATTTTGAGGAAAGTTATGAATGAGGTTTCCACACCTTACTTCTACCACCGTGATATTTACAATGAATGACATTTAAGCAACGTGGTTGTGTTGGAACTCTGCGGCGGCGAGGAGCGCGGTGTTCTTGTGATCTTGCTGCTTCTATGGACGATGGCGGAGAGAGCGAGTTGTGCTTCCATCAGGCCTTTTCTAGTCTCGCTTCTCGTTTTCGCTTCTGCGTGGTACGCCAGCCAATTAGCGGTGTTCTTTGCAGGCGTACGGTTGGTTGCCTATAGCGCAGGCAACTTGCTCGCCACAGTACCCCCTCTCCAGTGACGTCGTCACGGGTCATTGGTCTCTAAAACGGACTGGTGTTTTAGTTTGTCGTCCTGCTCTTGTTGTTCTGCGACCGATTGTGGGTTCTGGCTGCGTTGTTGTTTGTAAAATTGGCGGTTCGGCTTCTTGTGGAAGGAATGCTGGTTTGACTCTTTCGATGTTGACAGTTGTTGGCTTGCCTCGTACAACAATGGTTAGCGTTTTTCCTCTTCGAGCTGTTACTGGGTGTGGTCCGCTGTATGGTTGTTGCAGCGGTCTTCGTAGTTTCAAGTCGAGCAACATTAGCTTGCGGCCGTACGTCCGAATTTGGCTGTTGTTTGCTGCAAAAAGCACCGTTTCAGTGGGGCATGGACGTTGCTTACCTGAAAAGGCTTTTGGAATGACTGAAATCTCGGCTCCGGTGTCGATTAGGAATTGGATTCCGCTGCTCGGGTCCGTTACAAAAAGGCGATATTGCTGCTGTGTTGTACCGTCGTGCACCGCCTCGAGTGCCGACGGGGAAATCAGTTTCCCGAATAGTTGCAGGGCTGGTGGCACTTCCGGGCTTTTTCGCCGAATGTCTCATGGTAATAACATAACCCCTTATTCTCGTTGACACGTGTCCGGCTTCTCGAGTTCGAGCGGTGACGTCCGTTGCGGCCATATTTGTTTGTATTATAGCCGCGTCCTCTGTCGGTAACTAGGCGTTCTACGGTTGCCGTCAATGTCGCGATCTGCTTTTGCATGGCTTCCAATTCCAGGGCGGCCTTAGCGTCTGCGAGTTCCTTTTCAAGTTGGGCGATTCGTTCAGCGTTCGTCATGATGTTGCTTGTCAATCGGTGTATGTTCTGTGTTGTTGCGTTTTCTTCTTTCGTCGAGGGTCACCAGTTGTGGATGTTTTTCGTGTGGATTTATTTATGTACACATATTTACAACGAATGACATTTAAGCAACGTGGTTGTGTTGGAACTCTGCGGCGACGAGGAGCGCGGTGTTCTTGTGATCTTGCTGCTTCTATGGACGATGGCGGAGAGAGCGAGTTGTGCTTCCATCAGGCCTTTTCTAGTCTCGCTTCTCGTTTTCGCTTCTGCGTGGTACGCCAGCCAATTAGCGGTGTTCTTTGCAGGCGTACGGTTGGTTGCCTATAGCGCAGGCAACTTGCTCGCCACAACTTTAAGGCAAGTAGCATGGAACAGAATTTATTGCTGCTCCCACTCTAGTTAATTTGTTTTTAACCGGGCTGTACAAGTCATAAGAGAAGCTGTTTCATTTCATCGTAGACAAATAATACATTTAATAGGATTCCACATAGTGCTTGTACTGTAGATACCGAAGAGAAGGTATTAGAAGTCATTTTCTTAGAGCCCCGTGAATAACTGTACCGTAAGCATGTATTTTGAAATATTTGGATTTTGTTTTTGTACTTTACAGATAAATGAGCATAATAAACTGAAGAACAATAATCAAAGTTTGTAAGCATTAGGGTATTGCACAGTTTCCATTTAGTACTAACTATCCAAATACTGTTTAAATTGATACAAATATTCAAACTTATTAAGTAATAAATACGCAAAATAAAGTTGTAAGTCCGCTAAAACTTTTTGCCTACGAATTACTTACATAATTTTTTGGTAAAAGCTCTCGAAAACAGAAAATCTCAATTTTTTAATTTTTACAAATAGGTCGTCTAATCTAGATTACGGTTGTCATTGGGGTACCAAGGCAATCGTCACCATATCGTCACTTTGTTGATGAAAAAATTATCAATTGTTATTGTAAAAAACGCATCTGTGCATAAGTTATAACCGTATTACAAAAATTAGTGAAATAGTCCCAGAATCAATTTCCGAGAGAACTCAAAAAATTACTTTGGATCTGCTTTCTTCTAAATCCCCCTAGCAATATGAAAAGGAGTACCAAGCTTTCAAAGAATGGCAGATGAAGAATAAAGTGTTAACAGTGAATGAAGACGTGATGTTAACTTATATCCACGAAAAATCAAAATATTTAAAGCCATCATCAGTTTGGTCTAAATAAATATTCAGTGCTCAAGGCAACATTGTCATTAAAAGAAAACGTCAAAGTTGAAACATTTTCGAAAGTGTTAGCTTTTTTAAAACGCAACTCAGTCGGTTACGAGCCAACAAAATCGAAAGTACTTTCAAGAGAGGGGGTGAATAAATTCCTAAAAAGCTGACGACGAAATGTATTTGATGATACAAGTGGCGGTATGTTTTGGAATCTACGGAGCCTGCAGAAGAGAAGAGCTGCACTCCTTACGACTGTCCCAAATTATGGAAAACGGTGACTCTCTCATAATAATCACCCTTTCCGATACAAAGACGAATCGTAAGCGAGTATTTGCTGTAACCTCGGAAAATGAAAGTGTCAACCCTTTGGAACTGTATCGTAAAATATGCTAATCTGCGCCCACGAGTTATACCGCACAACTATTTTTTTATATCATACCGAAATCAAAAATGCACTGTCCAGAGAATTGGAATATACAGCTTTGGTAAAATGCCTTATTCAGTAGTTGCAGAATTTTTGAACTTGGTTAATCCTAAAATGTATACCGGACATTGTTCCCGTCGGATGTCCGCCACCTTACTCGCCGATTCAGGAGCTAACTTGGTCACTTTAAAACGTTTGGGTGGTTGGCGTTCTTCTGCAGTGGCGGAAACTTATATTGAAGATTCCGTGGAAAAGAAAAAGAAAGTGTCAAAGTTAGTCATGGGAGGAGGGAAAATTTTTAACGTCAACATCTTCATCTTATAGTAAAGAAACCTGTATTGCTACTACACTACTTGATGCAGTAGGAAAGAAATGACTGAAAGTGGCGTATTTTTTCCGGAGACTCTTTTAAACATGATTCAGATTGTACAAGAGTCAGTCAATTATGAACCGGAATTCTGTTTTTTCGAAAACTGTACTAATTCAAATAAGCTGCCATAAATAGAATATGAAGGTAGGAATGTAGAGAAGGGATGTGGCCATAGCGGCAGCCGATATCTTTTTGCAATGAGCAGTAATGCATACTGCATAGATATTGTAGCCGTCCATAGAGTCGAAATTTGCGAATAAA